TGCCAAAAGGGTTTTTTCACTTTTAAATTTTTAGGGAAACAAAAAATTTTCATTTTTTTTTAAAAAATTGAAAAATGTATTTTTTACGCCATTTTTTTAAAAAATGGGGTGTTCACATTTTGGCACATCTTTCCTAGATAAAAAGGAAAGTCCTTACACACATTTATCATGTTTACAATTTTTGTAGATTTGGGCCCAGTGCAACAATTGATGAAGTTCAAGACAAAAACGGGGGTAAAAAGAAGTAGCAACACAAAAATTTAAGGGTCTTGCACAGCCTGGTAACAAATGCCCAAGACAGCCTTTAAACGGGCCCAAACAGGTCCGGGGAAAAACCTATGGAAAGGGGGATAATTCTAAATTAAAGCAAAATAAGGGTTTTATTTTACTAGTACTGGGGCTAGCCTGCTTTTAAGCTTGAATATGGCAAGCCAGTATTATTACCAGTATATTCTAATACTATCAGAGATTTTCTATATAAATCAAAGTAGGCTGGAAGCTTGCATTATTTTCCCACAACACCCATCGTCATTCGTGTTCATTCCTTGAGCTACATACATTTATATTTATGTGCATGCTTTGTCAGGGATCAAAAGAGATATCTGAAGTTCCCTCATCAAATTTACAACTACATGTACTTACTGATTACAAATCATCAAATTTAAAATGTTTTATTTTCATACGGGAAATTTATATACAATTTTTTGTTGTTTATTTAGCAGATTGGAATAACCTATTAGTTCAACAATGTGTCTTTCTATTTCATCACTTTTATGTGTTTGAATGAAAGTAGATGTTCAGTGTTGTGGTAAACTACAGGTTGGGCCTTGCTGCTTACCGGTATCCTTGTCCATATTGTGCAATAATATACCACAATGCACTGGGAATTAATATCTAAATTGTATATCTTAATATAAAGAGAATTATGATACATTGAGTATCCCCAAGTTTCAGTGTATCATCAGCTACAGCGAACTATCATGAAGTGATGTGATCATCAAGATAGATTTTTAGTGTTTTATTTTTTTTTATAATTTTTCTCTCAATTTTATGAAAACTGTTTTAGTATTTTGTTAATTTTCTATTTGAATTATAACAATATGTTGGTGTCTTTCGGTTAATTATTGTAATATGTGTTGTGTATTTTCTACCTACCGAGTACTGGTAGTTACAATTCGTTGTTGATTTCAGGGTAAACTGCTACGATGTGTTTGACAGCTGCGCACCTTTCGGAGGGTTCAACATGTCTGGTAATGGACGTGAACTTGGAGAATATGGACTTGAAGCCTATACGGAAGTTAAACATGTAAGTTTTACAGATGGGTATAATGAACAAAAGTAAAATTCAATTAAGAACCATTTGACCTCGTTTCTAGCTCTATCTCTGTGTTGATACAAGGGATCTTACAATAGTTGGTTCACTTTCTCTCCAATTTGAGGATACACTTTCAAGTCCTTGATGGATGATTTTTTACAGACTTTTTTATAACTCCTATCTTAAGTGTAATATAAGCCTAATGCTTACTTAAATTTCTTTTCAGTCTGTTTCCCGATACTATTATTATGTTACTAATATATGCATGTAGATTTATTATAAGTACAGTGCAATCTTACTGTTAACCTTTGTGCAATGATCTTTGAACTATACCCCCCAAAAAAACTACTATTATGTAACACATTTGAATTCATCTTCAGAATTTTGTTGTACAAATTGTGTATTTGTGCCTAAAGACAAGTTCACAATTGTTCTAATATGCTGTTGTGTTTTCTTACTTTAAATAGCACATAAAAATTCTATTTTGTTTGTTTTTCAGGTGTGTATTAAAGTGCCTCCAAAGAATTCATAAATTAAACCATGAAACTTTTGTCAGTGTGAATCAATTTGAAATACAATCAAAACCTAATTATGTTTGAAAAAGTGTCTCTTATAAAAGTGGTGAAAAAACAAACTTGTCAGGTATATAACCATCAACAGATTGTATGAATTTGCCACATTGTGTTGTTGTATTGTTGTTAATTATATATATTTTGCAATTTGTGAGAATTTATGCAATAATTTCTCATTTGGATTGGTGATTCTAGAAGGTAAATGAGGAGTCTGGTCAAATTGACATGCTCTGTTGATGTTCTTCAGAAAGTGCTAGAAAATCATATACATATTTCTTTTATTATATTGTATTGTATTATTATATATACATAATATATAATTACATGAATTTGTATATAAAAAAGACATTTTTTAAAAAAAAATTATTTCAAACTAATTACTTTGCTTTACATGTTAGTTATAGACCTATACTTTATATATTTTGTTAGATATATTCTTTGGTTATATGGGATACATGTGTTACATGGGAACAAGGCAAGATCTATCACAATAATGATGATATTAAATTTAGAGCTAGATTATTAAATTATGTGTTTTCTATGTGTGCGCAGGTTTACCACTATTTTCAACAAAAAAAAGATGTTTGATGTTCGTGCTATAAATACATTCTCTATGATGAGTACGGGTTAATAACTATAAGCGATTATAAGTGTAACATTCATTTTAAAGTGACCTACAGCTTTTCTTAAGGTTGAATATGATATTTTACGTAAATCATTTCATATAATTGTTGAACCAAAATTTTTTCATTTAATTGTTTCATATAATTGTTGAATCAAAATTTGTTTATGAAATTTGCAGTCGATAAAATAATAAACAATAAGGAAACCCCACGATAATCTCAAATCTACCGGTCCGCTCTCTATATGTAAATAAGTAAAGCAGACAATTTGTTTCTCGGTCTTATTTTTAGACACGGACATGCTATTAATAGCTCTTAGAACGCTGTTTTTAGAAAGCTTAACAGTGTATATATGATTCACTTTTCCAAAATAAATTACTGAGTTTAGAACAAAACAGAATAGTTTTTTCCAACAAAAAGGCTGAAGGCTGCTTTAAGTCCATTTAGCAGCAAAAGTAATGTTTAAAACCTTGATGTAGCAAGTTTCTACTTACATTATAAATGTCAATTGGATCTATATCTAATTTTGTGACAATTGTTTCGTAATGATTCACACAAGATTGAATTGGGTCATCTGAGGTCAGATCAAAGGGAAAAGCATGTTTTCCCTCTATAGAACAAACTTAATGAAATATTAATGAAAATGTGTAAGCTTTAAATATGCAGACCATATTTAGATATACATGTAGGTCTTGTAGGTTAAAATGCAACACAAATCACATTTGGTATAGAAAAAAAGTCACTGGCTCAGAATGAAATAAAAACCTTAACTTTTCATCAAACTTTTCATCATACCATGAATTTTTCATTAATCTTAGAAAAGCATTAATTTTGCAGTCTTCACTCAGGTTAACAATAAATGGGTACTTATTGCATTGTTATTTTTATGCCCCCGCCATGTAATGGCCGGGGCATATAGTGTTACCCTGTTCCGTCCTTCCGTCATTCCGTCCTTCCGTCATTCCGTCCTTCCGTCATTCCGTCCTTCCGTCATTCCGTCATTCTGTCATTCCGTCATCATCAGTTTCCGTTCATTATCTAAGTAACGGTTGCACACATTCAACTCAAATTTGACATATGGATATGTCATGAGAAAATACAGGTCAAGTTCGAATTTGGTCATGGTTCGATGATTTTTGGCAGAGTTATGCCCCTTTTACTTTAAAATAATATGAAATTTTCAGTTTCCATTCATTATCTCCCCAACGATACAACACATTCAACTCAAACTTGACATATGGATATGTCATGAGAAAATACAGGTCAAGTTCGAATTTGGTCATGGTTCGATGATTTTTGGCAGAGTTATGCCCCTTTTACTTTGAAAATAATATGAAATTTTCAGTTTCCGTTCATTATCTCCCCAAAGGTACAACACATTCAACTCAAATTTGACATAAAATTATGGATATGTCTTGAGAAAATACAGGTCAAGTTCGAATTTGGTCATGGTTCGATGATTTTTGGCAGAGTTATGCCCCTTTCACTTTGAAAATAATATGAAATTTTCAGTTTCCATTCATTATCTCCCTAACGGTACAACACATTCAACTCAAACTTGACATATGGATACATCAAAGGAATGCGCAGGTCAAGTTTAAATTTGGTCGTGGTTCAATAATTTTTGGCAGAGTTATGCCCCTTTCACTTTGAAAATAATATGAAATTTTCAGTTTCTATTTATTATCTCCCCAACAGTACAACACATTCAAACTCAAATTAAACATATGGATACGTTTTTTGGAATGCCCAGGCCAAGTTCGAATTTGGTCATGGTTCAATGATTTTTTGGCCAGAGTAATGCCCCTTTTACTTTGAAAATAATATGAAATTTACAGTTTCTGTTCATTATCTACCCAACAGTGTTACATATTCAACTCAAATTTGACATATGGTTATGTCAAAGGAATGGGCAGGTCAAGTTTTGGAATTTGGTCATGGTTCGATGATTTTTTGGCAGAGTTATGTCCCTTTCACTTTGAAAATAATATAGATACATCTTAGGAATAAGCAGTTTAAGTTTGAATTTGGTCGTGGTTCAATGATTTTGGACAAACTTATCTTTCTTGAATGTTGGAAAAATTTTGAACTTTCAGTTTCAGCACTCATACTTTTGTGGAAAGTTTGAATTTGGTCGTGGTTCAATGATTTTGGACAAACTTATCTTTCTTGAATGTTGGAAAAATTTTGAACTTTCAGTTTCAGCACTCATACTTTTGTGGAAATGTATGTAGCCATTATTTTGGCTACAAATATGAAATATGCTATTTTCAAAAGGTTAAGACTAAATAATTTCAGTGCTTTGAACAGTGTATGAAAATGGTTTGTGTTAACATTGAAAAGTTTTAAGGGCTTTGAACTGCAAATGAAAAAAATAATTTGTGCAAACAAATTTGGAACTAAATATTATAACATCTGAAATTTTGGCTGCATGCGGGGGCATCCGTGGCATGATGACACATTTCTAGTTCATTATTGTGTTTTATATATGAAAAAGAACTCATTAAAGCTGGTAATTATATATAACTAGATAGTTTACTTTGTACAACATTGCTCTTGCAAGGGTAAAAAAAAATACAATTTGAGAATTACTTACTGTAATGTGTTATTAAATGCTATTTTCTCTTGTTTTAAGATTAAATCACTGTAAATTTGACCATTTTTTGGTACTTTACAGTGTGTTAGCTTTTAACAATGTAGTAAAAACAACATTCATATATTGTTTATAACATAAATGTATGAATGAAAGGAATTGTATAAATTAGTCACCATAACATCCTTTGTCTCAAATACATTGGTCCTTATTGCACATTTAGGTAGCTCTAGGTATATGTAATCTGCCCCACAATGTACATGTATAACTGTAGGGCCCAAATGTCATTTGTCGACAATAAAATATATAATATATTGAAATAAACAGGTTTTGTTGTATTTTGTTTGAAAATTTGAATCCTTTTTCTACCACATAAACTTTAAACACTGACTTTCCAGCTTTACTAGTGGAGGAAAAATCTTGGGTACCCCTGAGCAGACAAATCCAATATTAACAGCAGGATTCCTTCTTTCTGACTATTTACCCTTAAAGGAGCCCAACTGAGGTAAAAAAGTCTAAAACTGGTAATTCTTATATTGATCAGTTGAAGCATTAAAATGGAAAAAATCTGCAACTAATAATAGTAAAATGTATTTGAAAAATTGATTTCAGTGAAATCTTTAGCCCGATTCCAGTTAAAAGCTGCAATGCTTTTCATTTTCGAGTCATATTCCCAACAAAAATGACGATTCTTTAAAAATGGAATGAGGGAATAATCACAAGATCCAGACTTACATAAAATGGTACACAGATCTAAGAAAAATATTTTCCCTCCCGTCAGGTCAAAAAACATCATTCGAGTCTCTTTAAGTTGCTGATAACCTTTGCCACCAGAATTGAGCAGGATCCAATTAAGAAATTCAGCAGGTTGAGGGTTAAATAATCTTTCTATATTTAGAATCATTTACCTTATTTCTGATTGCTACATAAATTTAGAAAACACAAAAAAAGTACTTTTCAAAGTTTATTCAGTAAGAAAATAAAGACAATAATAACTCAGATCTAGTACAATATTAACTTTCAATTCAAGTGCCTATTTTGTTAAAATTGCAACTGCATAACAAGTTTCTTTATACATGTATTACAGAAAAGTTTTTTTTCCCCCCTTCAAATCAGGCATTTTACCAATACAAATGTATTCTATTGAATAAATCTGACAAGTTAAAGTAACATAGCAGCACATATTTATTAGCTAATTTATCCTTTTCTGGTCATAGCTTTCCCAAAAATCTCTATATGTAATGTGTACAAGATGTTCTTTCTCTGTTGATTGAATGTATACAATATTTCTCCAGTTCAATATGGCACTTTTATCACAGTTTAGCATTCATTCTGTAGGTCTATAAAATCCCATTCAGTAACTGAAAAACATTTACATGTATATTAGTTTTTTAAGTTTGAATGTGTAAATAAATATAATACCATAGACTCTCTCGGATCAGTTCCATGGAACCAAACACTACTGAGTAATTAGTGTATCAAGTAAACAATGGCTTAGAAATCAATCGATAACTAGTCTTACATGTAATACAGGTAACTTAAAATCTTGAAAATTACATGTTCTTGGTTTTTCCATTAGTTAAAAATAAAACCAATCGGCAAAAGTGGCCACTGATTGGCTTATTGAAGGTCAAGAAATGGTGACCTCAAATTGGTGACTGTCAGATCCTTAAGGTGTAGCTTTATTTAGGAGCTGATTTTAATCTGATTGAGATAAAAATGACCTCGTATTTATGAATACGACATTTACAAGACCAAACATTTCTTTGAGTAAGCCAATCAGACAGGTTTATATTCGAACAAACTCGAAAGAATAACATATGAAATACATTTTGGTCATAATTACCTTCCTAACTGGCCACCAGATATGGAGAAGAATTTATTAAAATCGAGGCGTAGTAATAGCTGTGCTAAATGTGGACTGGAACTGTTACTTCTTACACTTGACAACATCTTAAATAACAAGCTTGACTGGCGCTGTAAATTCTGTAATAAATTAAAACAATATTTTATCACATTTTTTTGTTGTTGTTGCACTTAAAGTGGCACCAGCACAGTATAGGTAATATGGTGACTTTCCAACTTTACTGGTGGAGAAAGACGTCCGGTGCCCTTGTGTGCATTATTTCATGCACCAACCAGCACCAGAGTAGAACTCCCAATGTTCTGTAAGCCAGCTAGATAACTTCCTCACATGAAAGTATCCAAAGTCTGTTGGGATTCAAACCTACAGTGTAAGGGGGCAGGTGATTTGAAGTCAAAGACCTTTACCACTTGGCCATGGGTGCCCCTTATTATGGTTTACAGTGACCCAATGGTAAATAGTGAGAAAACAGGTAAAAGTCAAAATAAGTTTACATTTTACCATAATGCCTTTCAATTTTATAATTCACTTCTCATGAATGAACAATAACTCACAAGATCTAAAGAACTTTCTGGAAATATCTGTAGGAATTTAAATTTTAAAATGCAATTCATAAAAAAGTGGGGCAGCCTTTTTTACATTTTAGGCAGATTTATATTTTACTCTAAACATTTTCAAGTATAAACTGTTGGTCAGTCACCATGAAAACAGTCAATTTATAGTTAATTAAATAAAACTTGACAATGAAAAAATGAGCATGACACTTTAATTCACTGGTTGTGAAAAGATTTAGCTTGTAAAATCACTATTATAAGAGTTACTTTTCTTATCATCATGACTTTAGACATTCTGTCAACAGACAGAAGAATGCTAAATGTGATAAAACGTTTTATATAAAGGCTTATGAACTTGTTTAAAGTGCATTATTTCCAATATAGAATATGTGAAGGGTTTTCATGAAGGGGCACCTGCAAATCTGAAATGAATCTGAACAAAATGTGTTACTTATTGAGATGACTATCAAATTTATTTTTTTCAGACAAAGAAAATTGCTCGTTTTTTTTGTTTTGTTTGTTTCTAACATAACAAAAATTATAACATTTACAATATTAGCTTGCATTTATAATTATACATTTGTAAATACCACTACATTTTAACTTTAAAATCATTTTATATTTAAACTGTATATAAAATCTTCAAATTTTGCACTTTTTTTGCATATTTAAAAAAAACTTGAAATTGTAAGTTTAAAATAACCTACTTTTAACATATGGTATGAGAGTATTAAATGTTTGACTGCATTTCGATGATTAAATGAAGCAGCCATGAAATTCACCTATTTAACGACAGTTCGACACATTTATAAATGAGAAGTTGACAAAATCTTTGGAGTGTAAGATGCATTGGAATAGTTTGAATAGTTTAATATGTAAAATTATATCTGATTTCATGCATAACTGCAATGGACATTGTATATTTTATTATTTATAGTGAATACATGTATATTTTATTATTATCATTTTCCATAATGATATTTTAACTGTAAAAATTTATTTTTCACTGGTGCCTTGCCAGTCTTCTTTCTTCTTACTTCAGCAAAAATACAAAATAAATGGAGGTCTTAAAAACTGTAAAAACCTTAAGTAAAATGTAAAGAGTAAAAGTTACTTATAATATAATAAATTGAAAATTCAAGTTTGATTGACATTACATGCAAAACTTTAACAAAGAATTTTTTTTAAGTTTTCAAAAGGGCCCCTAATTCTGTCCAAAAACCTTGCTTTAAAATTATGGGGCCCTTTGACAGTGACCCCCCAATTAAGAAACCTTTTTTCTTGTGAAATTACAAAACAAAATTTTCTTTATTTCCTGAAATTTTAAGGGGTATTGGGGGGTTTAAACAAAAAATTGCATGTAAAAAATTTTTTTAAAAAAATTTTTATTTCTGACGCTGGCATCTTTAAAAAAGCCCCCTTTAATTTTTCAGATAAACCCAGCAAAAATCATTTTGCTGCCCCGGTAAAAAAAAAAATGAAATTTGACCTCTAAATCAAATGTTAACTTTGAACTTACTGACCTAGCTCTTCCACTCCACATTCATCTCATGATGATTAACGCAAACTTAAAATTATAATTATGGAGGACATATAAGTTTGTAATATTTTGACAGAATGCATAAAATCAAAATGTCATAGTGAATGGATATAATTTATTTTAAAATCAACTTAACCATGTTTTACACATCTAGATTGAAATTACCTTGGCAATGTTTTCCAGTTGCAAGGCATCATTATGTGACATAGGTGTTTCACAGCGTACAACAAGGGAGGTAAACACTGTACACTGATCCAAAATCTCATATAAACAATGGGCAACCTGAAAAAACAACAACAAGGGGAGATAATATTGAATACATTAAATAACAAACTGCTATAATTTCCAAACCAAGCAACTTCAATTGTTTGATAATCCCTTCCAAATGAAACACAAATCTACAAAAAAAAAAAAATCAAACAAATTTGAAAACCACATAACCGTATCTTGATTTCATATTAAGCTTTTATAAAATCCATCATAGAAACCCATGTTGACATAATCATTATTCAGTATTTCACTTCAGGAAAGAGGGAGGTGTACTGGTATTACATTAGTCATACTGTCATCCACAAATTTTAATGAAAAAAGCAAGCACTTCTCTCTAAAATCAAAATTCTTAAATCTGCCATCTGTTTAACCAATTGCTTCTTCTTCCACAGTAAAATAGACTACTCATTGACAGATTAATTTCCCACTAAGTAAGAGAAAAAGTTTGTAAAATTATCAACACTTACAGACTTCATATGGACAAAGCTCTGGGCAAGAAGGGCAGAGAGAAAATGATCGTGGGCCAACTTGACGGCCTCGTAATCTCGGGTGGTTTTGATCTTCTCTACTAGTATACCATACTGAGATTCTATCACATCAACCTGTCATTATACAAGTTACAAACAGATAAATTCTGTGTGTTATTGGATTAATTATTGAATTTATTGATCAATATTGATCAATTATTAGATTATTATGAAACAAAAACATAATCACAAGTTCAATGATTAATTCTGATAAGTTTATCATTAAAACATAACTAAAGGAACTTCAATGAGGTCCAAAAGCCTAAAATCATAAAATTTGAGTTTGGTGCATAGATCAGCTTTGGCACTTAAAACAAAAAGAAGTGAAAAAGATAATTAAGAGATATACTTGGAAATTAATTTTAAAATACACCACACCATGACAATACTTGTTACTATAAAACTATTAAGTAAGTAAATGATTTTGAAGAGGTGTGTTGCTAAATAACTTAATTATAAGATCTCCCAATATTTTAATGAACATTTAACATGTCATTCAAACAGTTGACTTACTTGAAGATAATATTGTAAATTATCAACTAGGAATGACATATGATTTCTAAGCTGCCATTTTAACGCCTCGGCCGGCTCGTTAGTTCCGTGTTTTCTACTCATCTGTATGATCCAGCACTGATGAAGATCAAGTTGCGTCCGTCTGACCACTAGCAGGAATCTGAACACTCTGTTATACCTGGTGAATTATATCATATCATCTGTTATTTGTCAGACTTAACAATAACAAGAGCTGTTGGTAGTACAGCCTGCTCTTATATTCTTAGTGCTTGATAGTAAGACAATCTGTCAAAATCCATTTTAGAGTTATTGACCTTGAATATTGACCTCCTATTATACTTTCAAAAAAGTCTGTGAAATTTCAACCCATTCCTTTCAGTAATTTTTGGAGATACCAACTGGCATGCAAAAACATGACCAAAGTTCATAAATTCTATTTTCATCTTCATATTATCAAATAATTTCTAATATATATATATACTCTTAAAACAGGAAATTTCTTAAAATAGGAAACAGACTCCTTCAACATTTGTAAATAAAAGAAAAACAAGTTTTCCAATTTCTATGATAGTTTATACAGACTTCATCTTAGTTCAATGTATAGGAAACTATTAACTTATAGGCACACTCTCAAATCTGTTCCTGAAACCAACCAGTACTGGACAATGAGTGCAAAGTTTCTTGCTAAAGGAGACAACGCTTTCTCCCCTAACAGGGTTTGAACCCACCACCGCTAGCTATTTCTTAGATAACTGGTGGGAATTGTTAGACATGTCACAGGGGACTCAAACCCGAGACCCTCGAAATACCGTTCAGCGGCACTACCGACTGAGCTGGCCACTTACACATATTCTCCCCTAAATAGTGAACAGTTCTAAACAGTAACAGACTTATGTTAATGTCTAGGCCATGCAGTTATAATTCTATGATAGGAATTGTGTTACTAGATGGGGCTAACAATTTACATGTCACATTATAAAAGTACTGGGAGAAAGTACTTACTTTTCTAAAACAACTGGAGTAAAGAATATATGCAGCGGCCATTGTACTGAATATTTCAAGGACAGACTATTCCAACCTATGTCCACCACTGTAGATGACTGGCTACTCCCACTACTGCTTGTGGAATCCTCTGAAACCATACAAAATGTATTGCAAAGTTTGTTGTTGTTTTTTTCTGTTTTGTTTTGATCTGTTTTTAGTCACACACTGTAAAGGTCATATTGTTACCTTTGTGCAGTAATGTGTTAGCTTCTTACATAATTTATAAGAGTTAACCTGTTTTCTGAAAATGCATTAAGGGGGACGATATGGGGAAAAGTCCTGGCTTTTTCAAATTTTGGAGGGAAAAAGGGGCCTCAGTGGGATTTTTTCAGACAAAAACCGGGGACAGGTTCTAACTGCCAACCTTCTGTGAGCTAGCTGGATAGATTTCTTGCATATGAAAACCATCACGTTTGAGCAATTGAATTTTTTTCAATCATGAAATCAGGGTTTTTTTTAATGAATTTGACAAATGCAAATTGTGAATGATAATAAATTAGAAAAAAAGTTGCCATTGGAAATTTACAGTTACCTTGTCTGTGCTAATTCATAGTCACATAGTATTATGTAGATATATTTAGATATGTATAATTGTAGATACTTGCACTTACTTTTCTGTGGTTTAGGTGCTTGTTTAACGGAGAGTCTGAACCTCTGTAGTAATGCCTCATCATGAAATAAAACGTTCCTAGCAGCACACAGGTACGCTGCATTTACATCTGTAAAACATACAGAAAGATGAAAAAAGTATTTGTTAATATGGGAGATAACGTCATAACGTTATTACCGAGAGATTACTTTCCCTTGCACCATAACGATTTTAAATGACCTTGGTTGTTTATTGTGTAGTCTATTTATAGATAAATTATTGGAAAAACATGCTGACGTAAAATTATGCTAGAAAAACGTCACTGAATGTTTACTTCTGCGCTTATTTTGAAATGGGTAGAAAAGGTTCAGAATTGACCATTGATGTAAAAAATATTGCTGTTTGTATGTATAATGATGGAATGTCAATAGCGGAAATTTCGAGAACTCTACAGAAACCTCACAGTACCATTTCATCTGTTTTAAAAAAATTCAAATCATCAGGATCAGTGGAAAATTTACAAAGATCAGGCCGACCTCGATCAGTGACAGACAGAGATTATCACCATCTTGAAAGGACTGTGAAGTGCAATCGTCGGGCTTCATTAGCAGACATAACGAGTAAATTTAATGAGGGGAGAGCAGCGCCAGTTTGTAAGAGAACTGTTCAAAATCATTTACATAAACATGGATTTTCTAAAAGAGTGAGTAAGAAAAGAGTTATTGTGTCAAAGGTGAATAGAGCAAAGCGCCTTTCTTGGTGTAGAGAGAAAAGAAGGTCTAAAGTAGTAGGTGAATGGGATCGTGTGATATTTTCTGATGAAAGTCAAGTTGTAATAGGCAGTGACAATAGAGTTTTGATATGGAGGAAGCGTGACGAAGGGTATAGACCTGATTTATTGACTCCGAAATCTTCCAATAACAAGAAGGTGATCAAAGTGATGATATGGGGGTGTGTCACTTGGCATGGTGTTGGTACTCTAGCGAAAGTCAGTGGTAACATTAATGCTCAAAAATACGAGGAAATTTTAGAAGAAAATCTTTGGCCAGTTATTGCTCGTCATTTCCCCGATAACTCCTACACTTTTCAGGACGACAACGCACCTGTTCATTGTGCACGCAGTGTCAATCTTTATAAGACCAGAAACGGTATTAAATCCATGTTTTGGCCAGCACAATCACCTGATTTAAACATAATTGAAAATATCTGGTTATATATTAAACGGAAACTTTCAAACAGTACAGTTATCATTAACAGTGAGCAGATATTATTTGACGAAATTTTTCGGATCTGGCAAGAGATTACACCCGCCTATGTTCAGAGCCTGTACAAGTCTATACCACGGATATTTTATGCAAGTTATAAGGTTCAAAGGGCATTTAACTAAGTATTAAGGTTAGTAAACCGAGTTTAAAAGTTAGTTTACTCGTTCAGTTAATGTTAAAATCAAGTTTGAAGTTATGTATGTAAAAGACAGAAAATCCAATATGGCCGCCAAATCACGAATACTTTTTTCATCTTTCTGTACATATACTTAGGAAATAGATATCAATTCTGAGTGCATTGTTGTAGAATAATGCACGGTTTGAGTTCAAATGCGTAGTAATATAATCACGAAGGCCGATTGGACTTTATGTTTGGTGGTTAAATTTGTTTTCGCCTCAGAGTTTCCAATAGAAACGTTCTCAAAAGGCTGTTCCAGTGGGTTGAAAAAAACTGTCATTAAATCTACCGTGTGTAGAAACATTTTGAGAATAACGAATTTTGAAAACGTTGATAAAACTTTGTTTGTTTATTTTATTTCACTCTATAATTTTTTAAGCGAAATACAAATTATTAAAAGGGAAATAAATGTAAACCTTAACTCGTTTGCGACATTAAAATAGCGTACTTGATTTGATTGTTTTGCACGTGCTGTTTGGCGCTACATTGTGACGTCACGTAAACAACACTTTAAACGTCTGTACAGCGTTAACAACTGAATTAAAGATATTGGTGTTAGGATTCATTTTCTTATTTAGACCATTTTCTTTCATTCTAGATAGTTTTCACAACAAAATTCGATAAAAAAATGTTTTTTATTTATCAGATTTTTCAATCAAAATGGCGCCCTCAATGTGAAAATACACAGACAGATAATAAGAACGGCAAGTGCATTGTTGTAGAATAATGCACGCTTCGGGCCTTCTTTGTTTATATAGAAAAATTTCCGATAGTGTTAGAATATCTAATATACAAATATGATAGACATCTTGAAGCCATATAAAGCAGAATATTAAAATTTATGAAAGAAACTACAATGTATGTTTCATTCAAAACCTTGATTATAGACGTGTTTAAGGGGAGTGGCAGCCTAGTGATTAAGGTGTCTACCTCTTAATCCAGGGATCATGGGTTCGAGCCCTAATCTGGTCACAACCATGTTCCTTCATATGACACCAGTACTGGTTAGTTCCAGGAAGCGGACTCGATATTGATTAAAATAAGTTGCAAGAACTTGTTTCGCAACCAAGGTTAAATAAATATGTTTAAACCAATAGACGTGTTAACATTTTGTCATAATCTAAAGACGAAGGGTAAATAAGTACCAGCCAGAACAGTATGTGGCAGAAATCAACATACTATAGTCTGTCCCATTAAAAATGGAAATGAACTTTTGCCTGGTATGAATTAAAAAAACGACGTTGAATAAAAAATAAAACTTTTTTGTAAACTAAAAAAAAGTCACCCTCGAGATTTTTCATGATTTTACTCTAAAGTGTCTACTTTTCTTGTGAAAGCAAATTTTGATTTCTCTATGGTAAATCTCTGTTGTTTATTTTCCGTAGCCATTGCCGAAGTACTCTTCATTTGAAGATGAACGGGAGAAAGCACGTGTCATGTTTCTAAAATATACATGAGGTTCTCGGGGTCGTTTCATGATTATTTTACAAAGCTGGATCTACACGATGTAACAGTTTAGTTGCAATGCATGATGGAAAACTTTAAAAAATTAAAAATAAGCAACAAGAACACCGAGTCACTTGGAGTAGATCTAGAAATTGCACTTACTTTTAAGCTGAATAGAATCCCTATGAACTTTATAAACGTCACGACAAATTCACAGTCTGAAGATTCCTTCATTGCCGGTTTCTATCCAGTTCCGTAGATCCCAAGATTTTACTTCAAAAATCCTGAATGACATGACTCCTACACTTTTGATGATCCAGATTTTTTAAACTGGTAATCCGTCTCATTATTAAAACATTGTTCAATTTGTGGAGTTATCTGGGTTAGCAAATGAAATATGTAAATGAAACACATCATAATTCAGCATGTTCCAAATCCATAATTCAAGAACGGCCCATCAATTTTAGTTGTCAACATCACAATGCTTATGGATTCCTGACGAAAAAAAACAACTTTATTACGTCAACAACAATTTACGAAATATATGACGTAACAAAAATGTCTCGCGCTTTTAATGGATGATTCCAGTTGCGGCATTGACAGAGGGCGGTTAGGCATATGTAACCTCAAAAAGATAATTTTAAGCGTTGAGATAAATTTATCTTGATGGCATTTAAAATAATTCTTGTATACCCAGATTTTGAAACTGTAAAACGTATACCTTCAATTCATATAAATTATTAATAATATAAAACTTTTGATAACATTTAGATCTAAAAATAATTTTAAACACACTAGTCTTAATGACATGAATCTACAACAGTACAATACTTCTTCCATAATTACATATAACATTCGTTTTGATTTTATGTTTTTAAACTATTTTATATATTTCTCAGGAATAATTTCCCTACATATTATCTCGTTATTCAAGACTTCTGTAAATCCTACTCTTTTAGCTACAAAATATACAATACGCGGTATTTTTTCTCCCGCGAAAAATATGCTAGATCTATTGTTTTTTCACTGAATATTTTCAAATTTTAGGAAGGCTCAAATTATTGAGAACGTCACTCGGTGTTTCTCTTTGACTGGATCTACCCTTCATATTAACAAAATAATTATATGTAATACTTTGAGTCTACAAAAAACACTTATTGTCACTAGTCTTATTGAACTTTACTCTTAATAATATCAAATCACTGCCGGTATTTCTTGACATTTTGTTGAATTGTGAGACGGAAAGTTTATTCTGTATTTACGAGCTTAAAGTGTATAGGCCTACGTTTGATTGCTTAAACTAGAAAGCATGATCATTGCTTAAACTAGAAAGCATGATATTATATATTCTTATAATTTACATTTTCCTCGAACGCGAGTCTGTGTTCTCTCGTTAGCGAGGGAGTTAGTTAAAGTAGACACTGTGGTAACAAGCAAACCAATGCTGAACGTATAGTGAATCAGTTTTCCTTTCTTTATATTTTTTGAAAGATTTGCATGATAATGTAGTATTTGTTGGCGATTTCTTGTGAAAGTTGAAACCTACGGAAAGTTTTAGCGCATTCGTGACATCGCTCCCGAAATATGAAGGGTAACATATTTATGTATCCCATCGAACCTGGTCAATTTATTTATTTTTGAATAGACGTGATACACACTTATGGACAGAATTCAGACAACTACAGAATTATGTAAATTAAACATTAATTAGTGAAGAACCATTTTTATAGTCTTCTATAGCTAGTGTTTTCGCTCCCCTACGACGCGTTGTGGTATTCAAGATACGCGCTTGATTAAAAAGCTATCTAATCAAATCACTTCATTGTTCTTTTTCACTTAAAAAATATAAAATACGACAGTATATCATGGTAATTAATTAAAGCTTTGTGTGTTTGAATTTATAAAGCTTCCTGATAATTTCTCTTCAAATGATTTTGATTATTTTAAATAATGGTTTGCTAGTAAAATTGCCTTTTTGACACCAACTTTGTTGTCAATTTTCATTTTAATGATAACATTTAGCTATTGATCAGTAAGTAAATAAGAATAATATTTTTTTATAATTACCGAGTACATTTCACGCTAATTGTGAGACGACACTAAATGACGTCTATATGGGCGGCGCCATTTTGAAATGGACGTCACGTCAGGTTACAACGTAAGTCAACGGGAAAAAATATAATTTTAACATTTTGACCATATTACTGACTTTATGAAAAAAATGAAAAACATGCCTAGAGATATTGATGTCAGGGTTAACATGACATTAATTTAAATGATTTTACTATTATATTAAATAAGAAATGGAATGTTCAAATTTGATGGGACAGACTATAGTAAGTAGTTGAGTGGTACAAAACATGCGACAGGGGATTTTACTTGGCTACAGGTTCATAATGAAACCCATGCATAGTCACAAGACTTTAATAAGAGCCCCCATTTAAAATATTTTGCCATTCCAATTAATACTGATGACTGTTTTATCCTGCCAGGAAAAACTAAATTGATAATAAGAATTAGGTTTTATGGCCAATAAGTAACATACTAAATGCATAATTAAATTAGGAAATAGATATCAATTCTGAGTGCATTGTTGTAGAATAATGCACGGTTTGAGTTCAAATGCGTAGTAATATAATCAGGAAGGCCGATAGGCCTGAGTGATTAATTACAAAGCATTTGAACGAAAAACGTGCATTATTATACAATAATGCACGAAGAATTGATATCTATTTCCATTCTAATACGTCAAGAAAAAATATAATTTTTATTATAACGTTGGACTTTATGTTTGGTGGTTGAATTTGTTTTCGCCTCAGAGTTTCCAATAGAAACGTTCTTTAGAGGCCGTTCCAGTGGGTTGAAAAAAAACTGTTAAATCTACCGTTTGTAGAAACATTTTGAAAATAACGAATTTTGAAAACGTTGATACAACTTTGTTTGTTTATTTATTTCAGTTTATAATTTTCCAAGCGAAATACAAATTATTAAAAGTGAAATAAATGTAAAACTAAACTCGTTTGCGACATTAAATAGCGAACTTGATTTGATTGTTTTGCACGTGCTGTTTGGCGCTACATTGTGACGTCACGTAAACAACACTTTAAACGTCTGTACAGCGTTAACGACTGAATTAAAGATATTGGTGTTCGGATTAATTTTCTTAGTTAGACCATTTTCTTTCATTCTAGATAGTTTTCACAACAAAATTCGAAAAAAATTGTTTTAATTTATCAGATTTTTTAAACAAAATGGCGCCTTCAATGTGAAAATACACAGGGAGATAATAAGAACGGCGAGTGCAGTGTTGTAGAAAAATGCACGCTTCCGGCCTTCTTTGTCTATATAGAAAAAATTCCGATAGTGTTAGAATTATTTTTTTTACATTGTATTTCTTATCTTTCCAAGTAAATTGCATAAAAAAGTTCTTATTTGTAAACTTTAATGAGACAATGAATTTAAAGCTAATTAATAAATTATAAAATTAATTAAACTGAGTTAAGTGTAAAACAAAAAGTACGTCTCAAAACAAAAAGTATGTCTCGATTATTTCGTTGTTAAAAAGTGTATAATACCATGTTCTGTAGTAGCGGACACAGGGACACGCAGTAGATGTTGTGCCTGGTCTATAAACGCCAAGTACAGTTCACCACGACCAAGCAGGTAGAAATCTTTTATAATACGTAAATGTGCCAACAGGTCTGCTTCCTCTATTAAGATCTTCCACAGTACCTGATCATAAAATAATCAAAATATACAATCGGGAAAAAAATATAAGATTATAATTTTTCAGTGAATGGATCTAGTACCGTATAAGTACTTTTTTCTGCGGGAACTTTATTTCTGCTATTTCTGCGGTTCGTAACGACACCGCAGATTTAAAAACCGCAGAAAATTAAGCCTTCCCATATGTCTATGTCGGAATATGTCAACGATCGGTACTGTATAATTATATAACCATGTACTGTTATCGGCTTTTATAGATATGATTCTTTATGTATCTTTCATGAATAAGATATTAGAAAAAAAGTTACTTTACCTGTTCTTTCTGTTTGAATAAATATTATGTTTGTATGATTTTCGCTCACCCTAAGTTTTTTTTCTTAAATAAAACTATTATAGTGTGACGGGTGCAATAAGCATACCCTTTTGTATTTGTACAATATTTTGTGTTTACGTGCAATTTCACCATTGTTTATTTTTCACTCTACATATTTATACACATGCAGAATTACAATTAATTGTTGTCATTGCACTTTGTTGATTTTTGTTTATTAACGTTTATATACCGATACATGATGATTATGATGAAACACATTATAAGTCGTCTGCATGTTTACCGGAAGTATTGTACATGTTACATTAACAAATCTTGAAATGTTGTCTGTTTGTATGGGTTAATTTTGTAAAAATATCTAAATTAAAACACAGAAATAAAAAAACATTAATGCGAGAAAGATGACACCGCAGGAATAAGATATGCAGAAATTTAAAACCCCTTATTTTAACAAAAATCACAGAATTTTAAGCCCGCAGAAATAAGTACTTATACAGTACTTTTTGTCACCTTAGTGCAGTAACAGGTTAAGTCCTTCTTAATTTAATAGGAGTTAAACAGTTACTGCACTAAGGTGACGTCTCGTGTTTTTTCATCTTAAGCAGTTTCAAGCTACTTTTTTTCAGACATACAATAGACACTGCAACAAATAAAAAATACTGTTTTATTAAACATATTGAATGTGTGTATTACTAAATTTATTGAACAAGTTGAATAAAATTATATTATGCTTGCATCTGATGAGCATAATATTGTTTCATTCAATGAGTTCAATAAAATTAACATTGAATCTACATAATATAATATTCTATAAATCACATATCTAAAATATGAATGGTGAACATTTACAAAGGGTCTTTTTCACTGGCATGCCTATAGTGTAATACTAACATTAGGGCACTTTAACGCTGTTTTGAAGGCAAATTATGTCACGTCAAAGTCTAATATTAATTAATTATATACATGAATATTGTAATATTGTTTTTATTAAATGGGTTTATTACACTCCCGCGCTGTGGCTTATATGATAAAGTTATTTATTAATTCTTTCAAAACTGTGTTCTACTTTTCTGGTCAAAAAGTAGATACTTGTTTATTCTTTCATACATAAATTGATGTAAAACAACAAACTACCACTATCATGCCAACTTACTTCAGCTACTTGTGTTCTGATGTCATTTATAAGAGATTCAAACTTCATACTGTTGAAGGGCAGCTCCTGGGCAAGCTGATGTAGATCTTTAGCAAACTTCTCTTGTTTTCCTTCTAAAATATTACCTGAAAAATACACACACTAAAATTAAATAACAAATCAAGAGGACAAACAAAACAAGAGCTCTTGTTAGGAGAGCGCTCTTGACTTTTCTCAATGCTTGATAGAAAATAACGATGTGTCGACAGTACAAATGAGGAGTATACTTTAATAAATTTGTTATCAAGATTCAAACAATTATTCTACCAAGTACACCAAAGGCAAGCATTTTCAGTTATCGATACAAATTGTTTAGCAACAAAAGAAAACATTGGCATGGCAAAGTGGTTAACACATCGGTCTAGTAATTTAAGGATTGTTGGCCACATGAGTTCAAACCCTATCAGGGGCAAGCCGTTATTTCCTTGAGCAGAAACTTTACATTCATTGCTCAGTACTGGTAAGTTCCAGGAATGGATTCGAGAGTGTTTCAATAAAAATTATAGCTTCCGACACCATCAAACTTAAATAAATTCATATAAACTAAAAGATAACCACTACAGATAATATAAAGTTTACTTTTCCCACGTGACACGGCTGATTTTCCTTTTTCTTGAAACATCTGAATGGATTCTCCAACAAACAAAATTTTGCTGGCTACACGTACAGGTATGTATCCTGGCAACAGATCTGATTTTATTGAGAACAGATGACTTGTCGATGAACTACTGTCCGGGGTGTTCATTTTCAGTAATTTCTGTGAAGGAAAAATGGTGCTTAACCTTTTTTCTGCACTTCACAATGGTTACAAAATCAATAAATTGAGTGTTCATTTGAAAATTGTGATATAGACAATAAAAACACCTGTCATTTATAAAAGTAAATAAATGTTACATTGTCTTAATTAAATGAACTTCAAAAAATAGTGTTGACTGGCACAATTCTTAAGAAGAATAAAAGATTGTATGTTATGTCTTAAGGCAGCAGAGTGAGGCTACTATATAATTTTTACAACATTCTTCTAGTAATTGCATTTACAATAAAATTGTTCATTATCTTAGACACATAAATGTACTATAAATACAATAATTGACCAAAATTATAAATCTGTTGAACTGATATAATTGTCCAAAAGATATACAATTAACCAAAACAAATATTTTTTTGTCCTGTAATAGCATTTTTTTTAAATTCTAACCTGCAGCTGTCTTCCTGTTACTCCCATAATTCCTAGATCATCATCATCGTCCTGTGATTGGCTAGTTTGGTCATGTGACTGATCATGTGATTCCCCTTCATTTGGTTGGATGAAAAACTCCTTGTATGGATCGTAAACATATCCATACAATAACCAGCTGCATAGATGCTTGAATAACACACCATGACATACATGTAACACTCTGAAATATCAATATATTACAATAATACATACTGAATGACAATATATGACTAATTACTTGTATAAAAACTGCCCATGTAGGCATACATAAACATAGAAGAAAAAATGCATAAAGGAATAGATTTTCCAGACCTGGTACCATTGTTGCATTTTTTTTAAATACATGTACTGTATAAGTACTTATTTTGGCGGGGGTTTATATTTGGCTATATTGGCGGTCAGGGTCAGTAGCGCCAATTCAAAACATTGCCAATTTAAAGCACCGCCATTTTAGATCATCGCCATTATTCTTTGAAAGGTAGACAACTCATGGTAAAATAGCTTTGTCCGAGTAATCTCCCTTGATTATTTGTAATAAAAATAAACATTACAAGTAAGCTGAAAAGAATTTGTTTATTTTTAAGTCTTGGTACGAAACTCATTTAATTATATATCTATATACTGTATTTATTACGAAGATGATCACACGACGAGAAACAAATCTAAATGTCATTTATTATCGAATTTAAGTAAACTAGTATTTGTTTTGTTTTCACTGTTATGTTTCATAATTTGAAATAAAACTAATGATAACTGTAATTATATAGCAATCAGTTGTGGTGACCGTGAACAATTTTTCACGCTTTAAAGACTGCAGGATAATAGGGCATACCTTTCTCTTCCATGGTCCAGTTACCACACGGTACCATATTTACACCTGTCTGATCCCAGTTAATTATAAGAATTAGCACGATGTAAAGATAAAGGTGACCAAGCATAGGTATACCGTATGCCGTAAAATAAACGAGGACAGACAACTACTGCGTGACCAGTGTTATTTTTATTTATTTTTTTTATTCTTTATTTGTAATCGCCAATTCATGACCCCATATTTATGCCAACAAGTGTTTTAATTTGGCAGTCTAAAAGCGTTTGCGCCAATTTATGACCCCGCCAATTCAAAACACTTTAAAAAACGCCAACATTTGACACCGCAGATATAATGCGCTATACAGTATGCATGAACAGGGTGCAATGTAACAGTTTAATGCAATGACAGCTTGGTAGCTTTTTTATCAAAACTGTCAAATGACATCACACTAGCATATGGAAGGCATGGCACAATCAATTGTTTCACTATCCAATATACAGATAATGAAATGCTGAATTACCAATTTAGACATATACTTTTAAGCAAGATGAAGGCTCTGCTTTAAAATGCATCCTTATGCCTTTACAGATGCTATTGCATTGAAAAGGTGCATTTACCCACTACACTTGTTATTGTCTGTGTTTTTTGTCAGTTGTTATAAATAAGTAAATATATCCACATTTTTTTCATGTTATTTTGTAGTTTATTAAGCAATGGTTTATGGGTACATACATTTCATTGAAGTTGTATATACTTGTAATTGCTAATTATATACAACAACACAATTCTTTGAAAAAAAACAAAAAACAAACAACAACACTTTTATAAAGGGTATTTTCAATGAGTTGTTTGTTATTCAACCCTTTAATTTGTAAATAGTACCCTGTTATCTGAAAAATAAAATTTAAGATAAGTTGATTATTTAAATCTATACATATATTTCATTTAACCTTTTACCCCATGAGCATATTGCGAAAAATGGCCATTTTCATCGAAAAGCCTCCTGTAACAAGTTCAAACTGCTATGAAACTATGAAAAATGCGTCAATACTAATGAAACTTGGCACAAATGTTGACTACACCATAGCCTCTGTAACAGCATGCTCAATGGTAAATTTCCTGTTACCATGGCAACGGTGGACGTCTCCAAAGTGCCAATAATCACTATTTTGCATTGTTTTTTTCCATCAAAACTGATTTTAAAGTGCTGCAACTTCTCAATGAATTGAGATATAGTAAAAGGCTTTTCAGGGTCGGTTACTAGTTACCCTAAGATCGACCTGAGGCCATTTTTAGCCTGTCACATGTCCAAAATTTTGTTGGCGATGAGGGGGACTCCGCACCATTCAAACCCCCAAAACAGAAGGGGGCACATCCCCCTTCTGGCAACCCCCTGATGTAATATTTGGATGGGGAACGGCGCCGAAAAAGAGGTCAATTTTTTTTACAACATTTCTCAAACGAAAAACAGTGTTTGGGGCCTAAATAGGGCATTTTTTCACTGTTTGAGGCCTCAAAAAAAGGGGGGGCAAAAAGCCGTTGAAACACGCTTATTTAAGGGAAAAGGTTAAAACTGTCAATTAGATAAACATGAACATAAAATTTAAGATATTACACACTGTAAAAGATTGAAGGTACTATAACACTTAAAACGAATATACACACTATGATCAAACCAAAAGCACTCAAACAGATAAACCATTCTAAAAATGGTTCCATTTCAAAAGCAAAATATTAATGTTCATTTTTCAGCTTAATTTCCTGAACTTTATAAACAATGAACAAGAATAGGGCATCATTTACCTTGTAAGGACATCTTTGACAAGAGGATGGCCTGTTTCACTATGTCTGTGTATTATATCCAGTATATAACAACCATGTGCCTGCAAAATATAACAATATATTGAATATATAAACAAATTGATTCAAATACAAAAAAATATTTTCTTCACATTTTCGGTACATTGGTTTACAGTACAACCTTTGCAGAGCAACACCCTTTGGGAGACAAAAGACTTTTGGTTGTTGTTAAGAGGGTCCAGTGCTAGATAGTTCCAGGAAGAAGACACCAAAGTACTTCATATAGGTTGCAAAAATTTTTACACAATTCAGCTTACAAAAAATAATGTTTAAGTTAACTGATGTGATACATATCCTGCTGGCATGCATGTAAAAAGAATAACCGCTTACACAGCTTTTTCACTATCTAAATAATATTTGCACATTAACATTTACCAGTCACTGACATCTAAATAATAAGATCAATGTAATTTTTACCTTATGACTTGTGACCTGTTCAACTACAGAAACTAAAGCTGGAAGCAACAATTGGTACTGAAATTACAAAAATATACAACAGTCAAACCTGTAGATAAAGACCATCCTAGGGGTGAGATAAATTATTGTCTTGATAGACAAATAGTCTTATTTGGAGGTTACATGATTTCATAAAAATCAATGTAGGGATATCAAAAAATGGCCTTTATATGAAGGGTTATCTTAAGAGGTGGTCTTTAACACAGGTTTTACTGTAGAATAGATGGATCAACATGTATTGATAACAGATTTATTTTCTAAAGATAATTTTCATATGATAGTACATGATTATGGAATCATTGCCATTAAAATCACAGGGCTTTCATTGATAGAAAATTTATATTATTTTATCAAAGAGCAATCATATATGCCAAGTCAAAATGCTACGTTTACATGTATCAGTTTGGACATTTATGTATAAAAGGCTTTTATTATCAGTCTGGAAATTTATCAGAAATTTCAAAGCTAGCAAAATGAATAATAAAAACTCGTGTTTACCTGTTGAAGTTGGCACACTAGATGAGATACTGAGAGATGAGGGTCCTTCATTAAATTGGTCTCCAGTTCTAGTATATTTGCCCTGTAGCTACCAAGTACTTTGTCAAGGCCACTACAAAATGCCTTCAAATACAGGCCTGCAAGTCCTTCTTGTTTTACACCTTTTACAAACAAATAAAATGTTCTTTAAGTCAACCCTGTATTTCATTATCATTTAAACAATATTTTATTCCCTTAAAAAGTTGTAGTGTTGTTAGCTGTTGTGTTGTAACCTATATAAAACTTTCAAATTTTTAATTATAGATCAAACATGGGACATTTTATATTGGGACAAACAACTGGAGATTAACACCATGTTATCATTTCGTCCAATAAGGTGCACATGCCACCAATTTGCAATCATGAACGTTGTGAAATGGAATGTTCAAACTTTAAAGCAAACAGTGTGATATAATAAAGCAAACAGTGTGATATAATAAATGAGCCTCGTCATGACAAAACCAACATAATGCGTTTGAAATTGATCAATATAATCTTTAATGATTAAAGCATCAATATATGATTTAAAGATTATGCTTTCTGATCGATCTCAGTTTTCATTGTCAACTTGACTCCAACATAAGAATGCTTGTCTAGTCAGTAGTTATTTGACCCTTTATATTATGTCCCAGTTAAAATCAACACTGCTATGTGATATCCCTGTTTTTAAGCCAGTATTAGCATGGAGAAAAACTTTATGAATTTATGCAAAAGCCACTCAGTTTATATATGCTAGCAAGATGTTGATAACTTTCTTACATGAAAAAATTAGAACCTGCTACAAAGAAGGGCAGGTGATTTGAATCACACTGTCACACAATTGCACTGTTACACAGATCTTATTTCAAATACATGCATGTCACTGTGTGTAAAAGCTTCTGACTTTCTGCAACAAGCTAGCTAGATAACTTATTTACATGGGAAAATGTTACTTCTCATAAATTGTTTATTCCTGCAACTATGAAGAACTGGTGAATTGAATTACAAACCATTAGTCATACAGGATTTATCTAAAAAGAGCATGCATGCATCAAAGATTACCTTGTGGGGGTAGGCATGGTCCAGTCCCATATTTCTTTATGAATGTGTTGAGTGTAGAGAAATGAGTACCAAGTCTACACAGATAATTCAACTGTTCCTCATCAGATGATGATAGAAATGGTAGATCACTTTGAATCTGTAGAAAAAATATTTGTAAATCTCAATTGATGAGGTTTATCATTGATACATGGTGTAAAATTCCTAATAAACGCCCCTCCCCTAATAAAAAAACGCCCCTCCCCTAATAAAGGCCCCCCAGGCCTTTTGATAAGAAAAACAAGATACTCATCAGTGGTGAACTCATGAGTAAATCCATAATTTCATTCAAACCATTCAGAATTCATTTTATTTTATAGTATGAACTTTAAAATCTTAACACTTTTTAATGTTATGACCGACACTTACTAACACTAAATGTATTTACAATGATTTTTGGATTTAGGAAAAGCTGTAATGTAATAATAGCCCCCTTTTGGAAAAAATGTTTAGCCCCCGGGGGCGTTTAATAGGAATTTTATGGTAAGTTGCCTATCTACTTGATCAGTCTCAACTGTATATTTTAGGAGTAAAATTTGTTGATAATAAAGTGAGCAAGAGCACCAATATAAATATTTTATGTTAAAAAGTGGCATAATTCCTTAAACTATTTTGACCGTATTTGATGTTTTCTTTGTCACTTTGCATATGTTATCAACAAGGTAGTTCTGGAGCTCATGTTAGTAACTTTGTCTGGGGATTTGTCATGTATGATGTTTGTTAATGTAAACAAATTCCCAAAATTTTGAGGTCAAACTGGTCACGTGACAGACTGAAAGAAAAAATTCATTTTAAAAAATTATTAAAATATAAAAAATTAATGGGAATAAATTTCTTTGAATTTTTATTGCCTAAAAATAAAAACGTAAGACATTCTATTATAGTCTAAATTTTATATTTATCTCTCGGCTGACCTATGATATCAGTGGTTAACAATTACTTTATCAGCACTTGCTACAGAATTGATGATTTTCTGGACAATGATGTAAATGGGACATTTGAGGATAAGTGGGATTTTTAATTTGCCTAGAAATGACCGAAACAGATCAGACTGGAAGCTGGGTTATCATCTGACCCCAAGTGTGTGTGATAAATTATACGGGGAAATCAAAGGCTTTGGCTTGACCGCCTATAGACTACATGTGTATATTTAAAATCAAATAAAAAACAATTAAAAATTATATAGATTTTTATACCTATCAGTGAATTTTTCTACCTATCAGTTAATTTTTCAGTGTCATTTCTAATTGGACCATTTTTAATGTAACTCAATGATAATCGGCGAGGTATTCCAATAACACAATCACAACTTTTCATCTTAAGAATAATCATACATGCCATAATTTCCAGACTGATTTCAGGGACACTTTAAAAATGTTTCTAAAATTAACATAGCAGCACAAATCCTGTATGATACAGTAAAGCATGTGATGTGGTAGCGCAAGGTATTCAGAGTACCTGTTTTTATACAGTGAATTTGCAGCATCAGACGAAAGAAAAAAATGTTAAAAACTTAAAAAAGCAGCTTATAAAGTTTTGGAAGCCAGAACAATCACTGCGTAAGTTGCACAGCAGGGAACATTCACTGGTTAGTCACCGCGATATATCCAAAAAGCCACTGCAATTTATATCATTGACATACGCCACAATCAATGTACATGCAGTAGATCAATAATTAAATGTACCTTTCTATTTTTTAATAAATTGAAACATTTCTATGTAATTATCTTAAGATTCGGATGATAAAAATAATGCATAAAATTGCAACACTTCCAAATTATTTGCAAATCTAAGTTCCAAATTCCTATTTTTACCCTGAAAAAATCTTCTCTGGGACAGTGGGCTGATTTCCTTGACAATCCAAGACATTATTGAAAGTATGGAATAATAATTGAGGTATTCCAATTGAAAACGGAAGTGCTGCAAGAAATACCAAATAAGACCTTTATAACGTAAAATGTAAAATAAAAAAAAAAAAAAAAACTTTTTTATCTGAACTCCCTATTAATAGGCAATGCCTACGTTCATATACATGTAAGTTTAACTACTGTATACTATTGACCTTTTCGAAAACCTAGCTAAAGACCGTTTTCCGGTACGTTAAGGATTCAGCTCTGGGGAATTACGCCAAATGAAGTACATAACACAACTACATGATATTTCTATTTTTCTGTCATTATTTTACCGTTTAAGGTGAGAAAAATTGATGTATTTGAAAATTATCAATATTCCTTAAATTATATCTATTGCAAATTTAAAAAAAAAAAATTGTTTATAATGAAAATCAATAAAATGAAAACAGACGTAGTGGAATCTTCCATAATAAATAAGGTTATTTTCTGCGTAAACTTGTGTAGTTACTTTATTTTTTGTATGGAATTATTCATACAATGATATTTAATTATTTTCTTATAAAGAAATAACTATTTTATTTCAATTTAATTTTAAAAAGGCCGAAAACATCGAGTTCGCTATTACACTCCATTAGGTGAATTCCCCAGAGCTATGTACAGAAAGTACCGGAAAACGGCGTTTAGCTAGGTTTTCGAATTCGTGAATTCACCATGAATGACATGATTCTGCTAAATGAAGCAACTTCACCGAATGTGAAGATGTCAGGAATAATTTATGCCTGTAAAAATGTTCATTTTGTGCAATTTTGTGTTATGGCCTCTATTTTTTTTTTTTTTTATTTCATGAAATAGAGCCTACAACGATACTTTTTACAGTTTACATCATCACAATAACAAAATAAAATATCATGAATATTCAAAGCAATAGTGGCAAACTAACATATCTATCCGAGTACTGCCAAGTGTTATTGGCAGGAATAAAAAGTAACAACCTTCAGCCCATTTCCTGTATCCTTGATGACACCGCCTGTATGACCCAATAAAGCCAATAACACTTCATGGAGCATCTTGTTTTTTGAATTTGTTTGATTGGAGGCAGGAAGTTGAAATTTAGCGAGCTTGATTAATGGCGTTGCCGTGAGTTTTACAAGAATAATATTCTTTCTCTTAAAGACATAAAACAACCTGCCAAATGATAGCAGTTTTTAAAATTCAATTTATATTATATATGTCGGTAGCCTTGATAAACTAGAAATAATGTGAAATATTCAAAATAAAGTCAGAAGACAAAACTTTTATCTTGCTTTGATAATAATTATGTACATGTAATATTGTAAAAAAGTGAATTACCTCTGAAAACCAAGAATAGTTATTATCTTTTGTATTAATTCAAAATGTCTAGCTCTACAATTATCTTACAAGTAATCAATATATTAGATTAACCTCAAGAAAATTGAATTAATTAAGTTCTACAGTACCTTGTATTTGCAATTTGTATAAAAAGGCCAACTGGGCTGAATTGAAAATTTTCATTTAATACTCAACATCAGAAATACTTTAAAAAGATAAATCTCTAACTGTTGAAGACCTTTAAATTGGGCCCAATTCAAACAGAATTGAGGATGGCATATCAGCATTCATATATAGCCAGTAAAACAATTTATCACATAAACCGCGTAGCAGGAGTGTAATATAAAGCCATTTAATAAATACCATATTACACTAGTTTATTTTCATGGTTTTATTTCATAAATATGATGCTCAAATTAAGATTCGTCAATATTGTAAGTTCCAATGAGCATTATTTATAAAGATATTACCCAATTTAACATTTCATGTAAATAAAGGGAGGTAATTCGAAATTTATTTTCTATAAATTCTATGTCAAATTTTCCAATAAGAAATGAATGCATGTAATTTATTGATTAAATATAATGTGCACAAATATTTGCAGTACACATTTAACATATTCTTCGATGTTTGAAAATTGTTTTATTTGCATAATTATATACATATATAATTTTTGCAAGTGTGGTTTACACACAGTAACAATATCAATCACAAAACATACAGGATCTTTAAATAATATACATGTATATTATATTGCTATTTTCATTGCTTCCGATTAATCATCCCAGATTTTTATACCTCACTACAGCAATTTTGTTTCAAGTGCCGTGTAAAATGTTGTCCCATGCTTCACTTCAATGTTATAATCTTTTCTGCTTACAAGATACAAGATACAAGAAACTTGTAAAGTTGGTTTGCATATTACAAGAAACATTAGCTAATAAGCTATTTACCGACAACAACAAAGGCATAAAACATATTTACTAACATATAACAGTTCTGAAAATAAAAACATATACCCTAGAGGATAAAACTATTAGCAGCTTTAGCATGAAATAAGAGTATCAAGGTTAAGAAGAATTTTACAATAAGATGGTAAATTAAGGCATAGATTGATGACATGCACAGTACATATTGTATTAAAGGTAATAACAGTTTCTAAAAGTAATAAATGACTGTAGTCTAGAAATTTAAGTATGATACATATAGCAATGTGAAATAAATAAAAATAATAATAAAATATAAAACATTAATAAAATAGTAATATATAGTTATAAGTTAACATCTACAATTTATAAATACGTAATTGAAGGTTTCCTAAAAAATATATAAATAAATAAATAGATAAATAAAACTTACTTATAAAAGTGCATAAAAATTTATGATAGAACTAATACAGCATAAAAAAGAAACAAGATAAAGCACATACAGGGTAACAAACAAAGTTAACTAAAATTAAGTTGCATGCACAGTCTAATGGAATGGGGAATAAGGAGTTTTAATATGAACATAGCATACAAATCATACAACTAAGATTCAACTAGCATAAAATATAGAGTTTAAGAAAAATTAACACACTGCTTCCTTTGGCTCATTGATTCCAACACGTTAGTTTGGCTTACGCTGGTGCTAGGGAGCGTGAGAGATGTGGCACTTTTAAATATTTCATAAACAGACCCAATCAAACATAATCTGCATTTATTTTTTAGATAGTATTTTTTATTTCATTGCTTCCAAGGGATCACCGCTTTCAAATATTTTACACTAATTACATTAATTCAAAGGTAAATTAATCTCATAAGATCACTTAGAATTTTTAAATGTTTCACACGAAATATTAAATTTTCTGGTCATTTTCTTCAAAGCATATAAAAAGCACCACTATAATAATCACTTTAAAGCATTGCTTTTTAAAATGGCCCGCAGAAGTTTATAAACTGGTCACTGATATTCTGTGATTAAATGATATAGCGCCCCTAAATCGATTATTCTCATTTCATTAATACGTATTTGTTATAAATCAAGTCGCTATAAGAATACTGAATTTATCACGTTTCATAAATAAAATGCACCGGTATATTTAGTTTGGTCACATGACCAAGTATGGCGGAGAGTGACGAAAGTCCCTCCCCTTCAGAAAATTCTCAAGATACTAGCATTGGACCACGAATTGTGACAATAACAAAGTCTGAGACAGGTTTTGGATTTAATGTTAGAGGTCAAGTTAGTGAAGGTGGGGTCCTGAAATCTATAAACGGGGTGTTATATGCCCCTCTGCAACATGTCAGTGCTGTTCTGGAGGGGGGAGCTGCTCAAAGAGCTGGAATCCGGAAAGGAGATAGAATTTTGGAAGTGTATGTTAGACTTTTATGCAAACCACTTTTTGTTCCTTTTTTGCACACATTTGTAATGTTCAAATTGCATGCAATTACAGACTGTCAGTGACAAAGTTGTTATGTATCTACATAATTTCAGGAAGTAGATTTGGACCAGCTGTTTATGTTTTTATTGCTATCAGCATGCATGTTTAGCTTACTTTAATGGAAATAAAGTTTAAAATAGATTTATAAATGAATCAGATTCTTTAAACATGTGTTAAAGAATATGTTGTAATAAAAAATTAGAAACACAGATGTTTGGAATATGAACCCCTCCCTTGATTACGCAATTACCCTCCAAAATCACATTAATATGAAAATAGGCAAAGCCTATGAAAGGGGAAGTAAAATAAAAAAAATTTGTTCATTTTTTAGTTAACATTTTTCGTTATAAAAGTGGCATTTGGTATTTTATGCATTGCTTCCATTTAGGCTAATTCCCAGTGCACTTAATCTTGAATGGGAACGAGAACCAGATAACGTTTCCATTTTCAATCAGAACGTTTTCAGGGCTCGAGCTAGTGGGCGATTTGGGCGAAATAGTCGCCGAATTGCGTCTGACTTCGCCGACATCCTACATGAAAGCGAAGATGAAGTCGCCCGATTTTATTGATCCATTATTGAAAATTACAAACAATAACTGTGAATAACATGTTGTGTGTGTTTGCTTTGTTTACCCTCGCCGCCGGAAAAAGGGACTGTCAGGCATCTCAATCAACGCGAAATGTCATTAATCCGTTTGTTTACCATCATGTCATAAAAGTCTAATTAACAGACATTCGAGGAACAATTAGACTCCGCCCACGGCGAGATTACCGATACGTGCGAGAAACCAATCGTAATTCACGTTTTAATTGAGGCGACATTATTAAACCAATCATTAAATCGCTAACATACAACTACCCGTAACAATTATTTACAATGGACGGATCAAACGTCAATTAAATTTTCACTATCGAATGATTGTCAGAATTACGAGGACCGCTCGACATATGACTGTAACGGTAATTTTTATGCCACCGCAGCATCTGCGATGCGGTGGCATATAGCGATTCACCTGTGTGTGTGTGTGTGTGTGTGTGTGTGTTTGTTTGTTTGTTTGTTTGTGTGTGTGTGTGTGTGTGTTATATAGATTATATAGTGAACTTAAAAAATCTTCTTGTGAAAAACCACTAGTCCAATTTCAACCAAACTTGGCAGGAATTGATCCTTGAGTGAAGGGCTTCCAAAGTTGTTCAAAGAATTTAATTCCATGCAGAAATCTGGTTGCCATGGCAACCAAAAAGGAATTATAAGAATAAATTTAAAAAATCTTCTTGTAAAGACCCAAAAGGCCTAGAGCTTAGATATTTTGCATAAGGCATTGTCTGGTAGACCTCTACCAAGATTGTTCAAATTATAGCCCTGGGGTCAAAATCGGCCCCGCCCCGGGGTCATTGATTTACACTATATGTACATATAGTAAAAACTTAAAATACCTTTTTGTAAAGACCCATAGGCCTAGAGCTTAGATATTTTGCATAAGGCATTGTCTGGTACATTGTCTGGTAGACCTCTACCAATATTGTGCAAATTATAGCCCTGGGGTCAAAATCAGCCCTGCCCGGGGGTCATGGATTTTCACTATATGTACATATAGTAAAAATTTAAAATACCTTCTTGTAAAGACCCAAAAGGCCTAGAGCTTAGATATTTTGCATAAGGCATTGTCTGATAGACCTCTACCCAGATTGTTCAAATTATAGCCCTGGGGTCAAAATCGGCCCGGGGGTCATTGATTTTCCTCATATTTACATAGTAAAAACTTATAGTAAAAACTTTAAAAAAATTTCTTCTAGCAATTGACAAATGCTAGAGGTTAGATACTTTGCATGAAACATTGTGAAGTGAACCTCTAGCAAGAATGTTCAAATAATAGCCCTGGGGTCAAAATTGCCCCCGCCCCGGGGGTCATTGATTTTCAATATAATAATATACATATAGTAAAAAATAAAAATAAACTTATTGTCTGAAGGTACAAGGCTTAGAGCTTTAATATTTGTTAAATGATATCATCTATAGGTACTCTACCAAAGTTGTTCAAATTTTGCCTCTAGTGTCAAAATTAAAAGTGAACTTTGATATCAGCTGACCTAGATTTTGACAAAGTGTATTACATGTTGTCCTTTGATGCAGTCATGAAATTTTAGGCTGTGTGAAATATGACCTTCACCACCAAATTCACTAGACTCAAGTGCATTGATATATTCCTACTCTGATCTTTTATTGAGTTAACAATAGATTTAACCACTAATCTGATAATAAGAATTAGATATGCATTATGATAATCTTCAATTGTATAGAAACAAAAAAAATCTGTTCCTACACTACTATTTAGTGTTGTATTAATGCGGTGGCATAGCATTTTTCTCAAATGCAATCTTGTTTAAATGAAAGTTATGATAACCTTTTTTGTCGACGAGTTAAATTTGATAAAATTGACGGCGTATTACACTGTATTTATTACAAATGAAGCTAAATTAAAGATCTTTCTTTCGTTATCTACTTTCATTTTCTTTACAACATAAGTGAATATGAATATAATGTCCGGCGCAAGCTTTTTAATAGTAAATCAGAAGGGAATAACTGTTAATCCACCCATGATATGATCCATGATAGGAATCAACTATGGCTTTTTTATCTTCATTTAATGCAATGGTTGCATTACATGATACTCATTCTTATTACTTGTTTCAAACTACTTTTAAATTAAAATTGAATATTCTGTTGTAACACAAATCCAATTCATTTAATAAGATATGTACAGTGAGTCAACATAATTGCGATACAACAAACATCGATAAATGAATCTCCTCACTTCTCCCTAAAGTCTCCCCACTTCTCCCTAAAGCAGCTGGAGGGAGAAGTGACTTCTCCCTAAATTTTGAACCTAGCTTGAGCCCTGACTTTGGTTATTATTGTTAACTTCTAAGCCAATAAGTTGTGATTGGTCCATTATCGGAATACTTGCTGTGCAGTATTGCGTTATGGCACCCAACATGAAATGATACTGAAAAATCACTGATAGGTATAGAATTCTACATTTTTTTTTTTAATTTAATTTCATATTAATATACACATGAAGTCAATAGCCTAACAACTTCGCGGCCCGGGGTTTTGACTTCCTCTTATTAAAAAAATTGGTCATTTGGTGAGTTTAAAAACTCTGTTAGATAGTCATGAAGTTGAATTGGCTAAGAATCCAATTTCAGAAAATGATCTCCATAACTGTGATGTTTTCAGCACCCAATGTCACAGATTTGGGGAAAATATTCAGTCCGACCGGGATTGAACTTCAGACCCTCGGAAACTCCTTTTGACTGTACCAACTGATTTATCTGACCGTTTACATATTTTCTCTCCTTATTAGTGATAAGTTCTATACTGACACGTATTATAACAATTTTGGTTCATATAATTTCAAATGTATGATATTAAAAGTTAAAACAGTGAATAAGGCATATTTTGATAAATAAAATCAGATCAGTTGTCTTTATGGCAATTATTTTATTGAATTAAATTATGTTATTTAATCAGATTATCATTTCTGTCTTGCTGTGTCTTTTTACTTAAAAATATGGCTATTTGCCGCTATAATATACTGTAATTGAACTGATATAGACTGGCAATAAATGACACAGTGATTCGATTTACCCACTGTAGAAGAGCAGTGAATCTTTTTGTTCCAGGATGCCTGACCCTAGTATTAAAATAATTCCAGCCAAACTTAAATTTTTCAAAACCATCATACTAATTGTTGAGCAGACTGGTAATAAAATAAAGTTTGTTGAATCCCCTTTTAAACTTTTTTTTCATAAACTTTTTCATTTTTTTAATATACAGTTTTATATTGTAGATATCAAATATTGTTTGTTATTGTGATTGGGCATTTGAATATCCAATCTCTTCTTATGATCATCATTGATGGACATAATAAGTAGGTCAAGTGCCTGCTCATTGTCTAACATTTGATTGCAGTCTAAAGTACTGTTAAGCAGACTGACTCAACTTACACTAATATGTGTTTCTGAGAGGCTGAAAAAAAATTATGAACAAAGAAAATGTTTTTTTATTTTTTTGCTTTAGTTAAAAATGGTAATGAAAATCAATCATGAATTGATAAATGTTACATGGCCTCGCTCTGCAATAATAACATGGCTTGGAAACCTTTGAAAAAAAAAACTTTATATGTGGAAAATATTCAGTAGGTTTTTTTAAATTAATAAAATGGGATTGTTTGGTAAATATTCAGGCGTAAAAAAGTATTTTTTTTATAGCTTTATGAAAAAATAATCTGCCTTAGACTAAAGTGCATTTTTAGCTCGACTTTTCTATGAAAAGGGGAGCTATCCTACTCGCCCCGGCGTCGGCGTTAGCGTTGGCGTCACACCTTGGTTAAGTTTTTCGTACCACCCCACTTTATTTCAGAAGTATTACAAGTATGGCTTTGAAACTTACCATACTTGTTCACCATCATAACCTCCATCTACAGACAAGAGTACATAACTCTGTCAAGGTTTTTGACAGAATTATGGCCCTTTTTTGACTTAGAAAGTGTATTGAGCTTGGTTAAGTTTTTTGTACCACCTCACTTTATTTCAAAACCATTGGAGGTATTGCTTTGAAACTGACCATACTTGTTTACCATCACGACCTTCATCAACAGACAGAGGACATAACTCTGTCAAGGTTTTTGACAGAATTATGCCCCTTTTTGACTTAGAAAATACATTGAATATGGGTAAAATCCACTTATTGCCTTAACCCTTTGAGATATTGCTTTGAAACTTTTAATGCTATTTCACATCATTACCCCCATCTGTACGCAAGAGAAGGTAACTCTGTCAAGGATTTGTTTTAAAAATTAAGGCCTTTTATCGACTTAGAATCTTGGTTAAGTTTTTAGTACCAGTCCACTTTTTGACTGAACTGTTTGAGATATTAATTTGAAAGTTGGAATACTTGTTTACAATCATGATTCCCAAACATGTCCAGGAGAAGGTAATTCTGTCAAAGATTTTATTTGAATTATGGCCCTTAACTGTCAATGTTTTGTATTATAGGCAAGCACTAAAAAACTTAAAAAATCTAAAAAAATTCATTCCTATCCACTTGTTCACTTTACCATAAATTATGTCATATAAACATTGCTGTAATATTCAAGGGTATCAAACAACTAGTTCACTTTAAAAATACAGAGATTCTTGTATTGCCTTTTACTGCAAAAACTTTTTTTATTGGCAAGCAATAAAAAAGTCGAGCGCGCTGTCTTACGGACAGCTCTTGTTACCATTTACAGTAACTTATGATTACACCCACATGGAAATTTCAAACTTTCTATCAATTTACCATCAGGGCTTTTTTTTCCTTCTATAGTCAGGGGCCCTTTAGGGGTGGCTCCCCCCCCCCCCCCCCCCAAAAAAAAAAAAAAACCTTTAAAATCATGCAGTTTTCCCAAAATTTGAAATGATATCAAGTTTTCTCTTCCCCTTTTACATACATGTAAATACCATATTATTTTTCCCCCAAAATTAGGGGAAGGGCTGCTTCCCCAGCCTGTGAAGGAAAGCTCTGACCTTTCGTGGGAACCTATATATATTATATTATAACTTGTACCATGTGATAATAGGAAGACAAGGAAGTAAATATATTCATACACTGTTTAGTGGAAAATTTAAGAAAATTGATAATGAAATCTCACATTCTATGACAAAGAACAGAGCAGAATTCAGACATTTACATTTAACTTTATCAGTTACGCAAGTTTGCAGCTAAATGTTTAAAAAAAAACCCACCAAAATCCTTATTTAATAAAAAAAAATCTTTAAAGTCTGTGTGTGAAGTATCGTTTCTATAATTTACTGAATATATCCATGGAATGGATATTGATTTGTTTCAATATTGATTACATACTTTTATACATGTATATTTAACCAGTTATTGAAGTGTTACGAAACACCAAGTCACACATCATTTGATGACAGTGAAGGATTATTACCTATTTATATTCCAGTAATTACTGTCTGACAAAGGAAGATCATGAATGTTGTCAAGTCTTTAAAGTTATTTTCAGATAAAAAAAGGAAAATTAATGAAAAATAATGGAGGCTGGCTATATAATTAAGCTACTGTTACATTCAGTAGGAGTATTATCCAACATTTTATATGGTCATAAAGCTTGCTCAGGCCTCAGCACTGGAATTAATATACATTGAGCAAAAAAAACAAGGCCATCAGAAGCTTCCCATGAAACCCTTGTTGTTTTGATCATGGTCCAGGGTTCCCTCTAGGTCAGTTTTAGTTTGCATCACCAAAAGTTTGGAGCCAATAGTTCTGAAAGGGAGACATGCCTATCTTCGCTAAGATATTTGAAGATGTATGAGTACATGTATATTTCTAATTATCTTTTCCTTATTCTTTCTGTTTTGTCCTGATTGAAAGGACATATCCATAATAAATCATTTATTGGTTAAATCTTATAAGCTGTAGGAGTTTGAAGCATATTCAGATTTTGAACAGAAAGTGAAAAGTTGGTTGAATTTACATGTGTGCACATATTGAGCCCATTCTCAAATTCTTATGTAAAAAAACAGTTAAGGTTAGGAGGAAAAAGATTGTGCAATATTATATTTTGTCTTCATTGTATAATCCAAGACAACTAAAAATGGAAAAGTTCATATGGCAAGTGTCTACATATAGAGATTTATTTGATCTTTTATCCTGTTGGATTCAGAATGACAGTCACAAATAATTAACATTTGCACCTTTCCCAAGTGTAGTGCATTATTTACATAATATACTGGTTTTTGATAGTGGTTTATCTATGCAAATGATAAATGTAAAATATGTTCTTTATCTGAGACAGTGCAGTGTAAATACATGTATTAAAAGTCACAGCCTTATTATGAATATTTGGTACAGGTCTGTATTTAATAAGTTTTTTTATAATTAGTTTGTTTTTAATCTATGTACTGATTTGCTTCATAATAACTTGGACTGGATACTAGACAATAGAATAATACAAGGAATTAGTCTTAGCCCCTAAATGACATTTAAATTGCATCCGCGCAGTCTGATCAGGATCCATGCTGTTCGCTTACAGACTCTATAACAAGTAAAGAAACTGCTAGCGAACAGCATGGATCCTGATCAGACTGCGCGGATGCGCAGGCTGGTCTGGATCCATGCTGGTCGCAAACCCACTATGTTGGTTTTGTCGTGACGCGGCTCATATATTCTTTACTCTTTAGATTTTTATTTTGACATAATGGTGTTCAAAAGTTGAAAGGTTGAGCTTAGCCTTAGTACTTGGGGTAGTGCAGATGATTACCTATAAACATTGCATGAAGGTAGACAATTAAAAATGGAACACATTGGCCTTTGTAAAAAAATTGCACAACTCTTTAAAGGTTTTTAAGACTTAATTGAGTGCTCTTCAAGTATGTCTGGTGGTTGGAAAAGTACTCGCGTTGTTTTATTGTGTTGATATTTTAAGATAGATTTGTGATAATTTTAGAGTCTTCCTTTTTGTTTGTACAGAAATCAAGTGAATGTTGAAGGAGCTACACATAAACAAGTTGTTGACCTGATAAAGTCTGGTGGTGATACTCTCACATTAACAGGTAAAGTAGTGCTGTTGCTGTTTGTTATTGTTGTTGTTGTTTTTTATTCAACTGCAATCTATTTATTTTTTAGTTTATAGAAATACATTTTAGTTGCATTGTGTTGTAACCCTGGAATCTGTTCCTTGAATCAACAGGTACTAAGCAATCATGCAATGAGTTTAAAGTTTCTTGCTTTTTGCCCCTGGCAGGGTTTGAACCCACATGGCTAGCACTCGTTATATAACTAATCAGATTTGTTAACCACTTGGCCAAGTGGCCACTATTTTGTGTTTTTCATTATGACGTTTCAAGTATAAGTCTGATTTTAAGCGAGATTTTGATATAATTGTCTACAACTTTGTTTTAATCTTTGTGATTATTCTACTGTCAGTTGGATACTGCAGTTAGTAGTGTCTTAGTGGTTACAAAGAGGCCACCTTTTATTAGAGAGGTCAGGTTGTAAAACATTGCTACCACCAGTAGTCTATAGTTCATATATGAGCTGTGTCATGACAAAACCAACATAATGGGTTTGCAACCAGCATGGATCCAGACCAGCCTGCGCATCCGCGCAGTCTGATTAGGATCCATGCTGTTCGCTTATAAACCCTATAACAAGTAGAGAAACTGATAGCGAACAGCATGGATCCTAATCAGACTGCGCGGATGCGAAGGCTGGTCTGGATCCATGCTGGTCGCAAACCCATTATGTTGGTTTTGTCATGACGGGGCTCATATGTAATTAACTCGTGTATTGAAGAACACATCATGTATTAACAATGGTTAAGTTTGTTATGTGTTTCCTTTGTAAATGAAACCCCTCATTAAAACCACCTTTATAATAAGACCAATTTTCAAATGTCACATTTAATAGTTATGCTCTTTTTCCATTCCAATATAAATACCACCCTACTATCAAGGACCCCTTTATTGTAAGTCCCAAAGGTGGTCTAAATAACGGGAATTCACTGTATATAATAGTAATAATTTGATATTTATACTTTAGTGATATCAGTTCCGGACCAGATAGCGGACAGGTTGGAACCAAGTGATGATTCTTCGGGACCCTCGTACATTGATTACTCCGAGAGACGATCATTGCCGATCTCTATACCGGACTATCAGTCTGTACAACAAAGTGGGGAAAGATTTGTGGTAGGTAGTTACAAATGAGTACATATCAAATTATAGAAAACATTATGATTAGTTTAATAGGTATATAAACTATTGATAAAAGCATTTTATATTGCAAATGAGTGTATCAAATTATATGAAACATGTGTTTTATTATATAAACAATTGATTTTAGTCGCTTTATATTTATATATCTTAGTGCTCTTTCTCATTTTTGGGGGAGCAGTACCTGTATCTTTAGAAGGGGGGATTTTTTTCATGTCATTTTTCTTTTGTGGGTGAAATTTTACTAAGGTTGTTTTTGCTTCACATATATAGGATAGTGACAATACTTATGCTGTTTCAAAAACAATTTCTACATTTTATTATAATATACAAAAAGTATAGAAATTGTCATCGTGTTACATGATATTACTGTAGTCCCCATAAAAATGATGTTACAAAGTAAACATTTTAGGAGGTTTTTATGTCTAGGATGAAAGATGAAGAGGTCTCATAGAAAAGTAATAATTGAGGGAAATTGAATGCAATTAGCCTTAAGTTAGTGGAAAAAATATGATATAGTGTATAATATAACCACTTATTAAATGTAGCTAGTAATTGTATTTTGATAACCAGTTTATTTTTACAAAGGCTGACATTACGTATACAGTACATATGCGTGTTTTATACTCTCATAGCAATATTGTTTTTCATGCAAAGTGGGTGGAGATATTAAGTATACAAATTGTTAGACAAAAATAATATAAACATTGTTTTAAGAGAATATCTTAAAGCAATGTTTATCAATTTATTCTGACTGTGGTAATACAAGATGGTTAGGATATATATGATTGGTGAAAGACTGAAAGACACCTTAAACACTGCAAGATTATATCTTTTTTTTTTTTAGATAAAACTGAAATATTGTAGCATATGACACTTGATAGTTCATTAAGTACATTCAAACTCCACAACTTATATAATTATTGTCAGTTAAAGGCACACTACACTTCAAAACACTTACATGATTATTGTCAGTTAAAGGCACACTACACTTCAAAACACTTACATAATTATTGTCAGTTAAAGGCACACTGCACTTCAAAACACTTACATAATTATTGTCAGTTAAGGCACACTTCACTTCAGAACACTTACATAATTATTGTCAGTTAAAGACACACTGCACTTCAAAACACTTACATAATTATTGTTAGTTAAAGGCACACTACACTTCAAAATACTTATGTAATTATTGTCAGTTAAAGGCACACTACACTTCAAAACACTTACATAATTATTGTCAGTTAAAGGCACACTACACTTCAAAACACTTAATATAACTATTGTCAGTTAAAGGCACACTACACTTCAGAACACTTACATAATTATTGTCAGTTAAAGACACACTGCACTTCAGAACACTTATATAATTATTGTCAGTTAAGGCACACTTCACTTCAGAACACTTACATAATTATTGTCAGTTAAAGACACACTGCACTTCAAAACACTTACATAATTATTGTTAGTTAAAGGCACACTACACTTCAAAATACTTATGTAATTATTGTCAGTTAAAGGCACACTACACTTCAAAACACTTACATAATTATTGTCAGTTAAAGGCACACTACACTTCAAAACACTTAATATAACTATTGTCAGTTAAAGGCACACTACACTTCAGAACACTTACATAATTATTGTCAGTTAAAGACACACTGCACTTCAGAACACTTATATAATTATTGTCAGTTAAAGGCACACTGCACTTCAAAACACTTATATAATTATTGTCAGTTAAAGGCACACTGCACTTCAAAACACTTACATAATTATTGTCACTTAAAGGCACACTACACTTCAAAACACTAACATAATTATTGTCAGTTAAAGGCACACTACACTTCAAAACACTAACATAATTATTGTCAGTTAAAGGCACACTACACTTCAAAACACTTACATAATTATTGTCACTTAAAGGTATATATTCCTCAGAAATAATTAAAGTTTTCCTTCATAAGAAAGGGTGAACATGACTTTTAGAACATATAAATAATGTAAAGCAAGCATATTAGATTCTTATCACCTTAAGGAACAAGTCAGGAACAAGTGACGATTCTTTTGACTTCCATACAAAATATTAAGTCACCAAAACTGAACTTGTTGCCAAAAAGCAACAGAAGCAAAAGATAGTTCAGGTAATTGGTCAGGACACAAAAAATAAAAAAGCTTTTTAGAAATAAAAAATGTAGCATTACCTGATTTTAATATTTTTTACATGAAAGTTAATGATTATTATCGAAGTTTTTTTGTTTGTTGGGTTTTTACTTTTAAGTCACACAAAGACATTGAAGGTCACAGCAACTTCCCAGCTTTACTGGTGAAGGAAGACATCAGGTGCCCCTCCATGCATTACTTCAGGAACAACCAGACACCTGAGTAGAACCAACCTTGTTCTGTAAGCTAGCTTGATAGCTTTCTCACATGAAAGAATCCAAAGTCCCTGTTGGGATTTGAACCTACGGCAGTGAGGGGCAAGTGGTTTGAAGTCAACAACCTTAACCACTCAGCCACAGACACCCTATATCAATTAAAGTATTAAAGTCAAGTAAAAAAAAATGTAGTATTAAAGTCATATGTATATTTAAGACAATCTTACTGAGAAGACGTCTTCGTTTTCAGGTCTACAATATATATATGGCTGGTCGCCATTTGTGTTCAAGACGTTACAGTGAATTTGACACTCTTCATTCAAGATTAAAAAGAGAGTTTCCAGATTTTTCATTTCCTAAGATGCCTGGTAAAAAGTTGTTTACATTAACAGAGCAACAGCTAGATTCACGGAGACGAGGTCTGGAACAATACCTGGAAAAAGGTTTGAATCCTTAATTATTTGTTCTTACTGGGTCTGATGTCGGAAAGTGACAAAAATAAGTGCTTTTATTTTGTTTGCATAGATTCCTCATTCAGCTCTCTAATTTCATGAATTTTAGATTTTGTTTGCAAAGGCCTCATTCAGCTCTCTAATTTCATGAATTTTAGTGCCAACATGTTGCACCATTCCCCTCCCTGAAAGTATAATTATATATTCTTTTCAAAATATTACTTTTAAAAAAAAAATTTTTCTAACACAACAATTGGAAGAAAAGTGAGCTATGGTTCTCACATTTGCATTATTCTGGTTAAGATTTTGTGTGTTAGTTAGTTATCAACAAAACAACTGAAGAGAATTGGTTGAAATTTCACACTCTTATTTGAGAGTGTAATAGGAGATCACTATCCCAAGGCCCTCAACTTTAACATGGATTTTGACAGAATAATGATATTAACTTTTATTATTGCTTAAAAATGCAATTGATATTTCTTTTTTATAATTGATTATAATAATAATTATTATACAGTAATATGATTTTTCAGCATGTGCTGTCCGGGTGATAGGAGAATGTGATATTATGCAGGAATTTTTAGCTGCTAATGAATCTGAGCAGGTCAGTAAATGTCAGAAATGTGTTTTATAGAAAGTTCTAAGTGTGTCCTAAGCATTGCTATTCAACAGTTTATTGAGTCATATTGTAAAAGTCACATTTTCTTTGAAACGCAAAGTTGTCTCGGGTTTGGTTTAACTTAGGACTTTCTATGAAACACAGCAGACTTATGACTTTCTATGAAACACAGCCGACTTATGACTTTCTATGAAACACAGCAGACTTATGACTTTCTATGAAACACAGCAGACTTATGACTTTCTATGAAACACACAGCCGACTTAGGACTTTCTATGAAACACAGCCGACTTAGGACTTTCTATGAAACACAGCAGACATATGACTTTCTATGAAACACAGCAGACTTAGTACTTTCTATGAAACACAGCCGACTTAGGACTTTCTATGAAACACAGCAGACTTATGACTTTCTATGAAGCACAGCCTACTTAGGACTTTCTATGAAACACAGCAGACTTATGACTTTCTATGAAACACAGCAGACTTATGACTTTCTATGAAACACAACCGACTTATGACTTTCTATGAAACACAGCCGACTTATGACTTTCTATGAGACACAGCCGACTTATGACTTTCTATGAAACACAACCGACTTATGACTTTCTATGAAACACAGCCGACTTATGACTTTCTATGAAACACAGCCGACTTATGACTTTCTATGAAACACAACCGACTTATGACTTTTTATGAAACACAACCGACTTAGGACTTTCTATGAAACACAGCAGACTTATGACTTTCTATGAAGCACAGCCTACTTAGGACTTTCTATGAAACACAGCAGACTTATGACTTTCTATGAAACACAGCAGACTTATGACTTTCTATGAAACACAGTCGACTTATGACTTTGTATGAAACACAGCCGACTTATGACTTTCTATGAAACACAGCCGACTTATGACTTTCTATGAAACACAGCAGACTTATGACTTTCTATGAAACACAGCCGACTTATGACTTTCTATGAAACACAGCCGACTTATGACTTTCTATGAAACACAACCGACTTATGACTTTTTATGAAACACAACCGACTTATGACTTTCTATGAAACACAGCCCCAAGTTACATGTTATTCATGTTTAAAACTAAGGCCAGCTTGCTAATGGTGACTGAATCTACCCATGAGATCAGTGCAGACCAATATAAGACTGCATAAAGATGTGTCATGGTCTGCACGGTTTGATATTCAGACAGTACTTGTTTGAAACTTTTTCCTCTAAATAATGAATGGTTTTGCCCAGATTGTGAAATGGACAGGCTTATTTTAGATATTTAGGGTGGTAAGGGTTAATTGTTGGTACTACCACCAACATTTAGTGTAATAGGGATAAGCATGAACACATTGTTTCAATTGATATTTTAGAACATTGTTTTAAATGATATATTTAGAATTAAGGAAGCTATATGTTCATATAGAATGAAGAAAAAATTACTATAGGAATGTTACATTCATTGCATTCATTCTTTTAATTATAAACTTCCTGTTATAAATACACAGGCTTAAGATATAAAAAGATATTTCAGTTAAGTCACGGACAGTTCAGAGTCAGATGAAACTGCAAGGAATTGTGGCCTCGTCCAGTTTTTTTACTCGGGGATGGCAATAAGTAACATGTTCAATCAAGTGATTAATCAAATGTTCATATAGCGCTTAACAAAATCACTTAATTTTTTTTGTCGTAAATATAATAATTATCAAATAGATAATCTAGAATTTCTGATAAAGAAACTTTAAACTTGTTATATATAATCGAAACATCTGTGAATAGGTTCCAAATTGACAGTTTATGAAAGCCAACTGTCACAATTGGACAGTTGGACAAGTTTGCACATTAATAAACATTTCAACCTTAGAAATCATCTGAGTTACGAGTACTTGATTGGAAGAATGAAGATTTCATGTTATTGTTAAATTTTGCTGTAGCCAGTGCAAGAGGATTGCACTTTTCAATTATACCATCCATGAACAGACTTGATCAAACCTAGTCTGCATTTTCAGTTTTGCTATTTTCAGGCTTTCAAGCGGGCCCTACTTTTCCTATTTTTCCTACTTTTCCCTACTTTTTTGTTTGACCCCTACTTTTTTCTTTAAATGCCCTACTATCCCTACTTTTTTAAGAAAAAACCTCGAGGATAATTGATAAAAAATCCAGTATAAGTAGTAGATTGATTTTGAGATAATGTTTATCTCAAATTAAATAAGAATCAGATGCTAGTTTAATTGTAGGAAAAAGTTGATGGAAGTAGGTCATCAGTGGTGCAAGAGGGGTTCCATGATGAGGATGGTTGGAGCTGACATGGCAGAATCAGAGACTTTAGGTGAGTTTGCTTCTATAGATATATTACTTAGTGTTCAATTATTTTTATGATTATAATATGTTTTTGTACACAGACTAGCTTATCAATTGTTTCATTTCAAAATTATAATATGTTTTTGTACACAGACTAGCTTATCAATTGTTTCATTTCAAAATTATAATATGTTTTTGTACACAGACTAGCTTCTCAATTGTTTCATTTCAAAATTATAATATGTTTTTGTACACAGACTAGCTTCTCAATTGTTTCATTTCAAAATTATAATAATATGTTTTTGTACATGTTTTTGTACACAGGCTAGCTTCTCAATTGTTTCCCAATGATGCTTATACCGTCAGAGGACAACACTTGCCAACATCTTTGAGCATATTATTATATAGATTTTAGGCAATGTTTGGCATATTGGCAAGTATTGAACTTGCTCACTGTGATCATTTTGTCCTGAATTTATTGAATGAAAGATACTAAAAAAATTTAGTGAGTGTTTCTGAAAAATATGTATGCTTTAATTAGATAGAATTTGATAGCTTTAATATGGTGGGGGATTAGGAATCTTGAACTTATAACAGATAATTTAAAAATAACTAACAGTGTGTTTAGGCTTTCAGTGTGCCAATTATTAGTAATATAACCATTAAAGATATGAGAGATTGTTGTTGCATCCAAAGTTTACATAACAGGTTTTTTGCTCTCTATCATTAAATATATATGTATCTAATATGGCATAAATACTCATCTCTACCTTGGAATTATCTGAGACCTACTTACAATTCTCGCAAGTGTCATTAAGTTTCTTTTTAAATTCCATTTTACTAACAATTTATTATTTCAGGTCCATTAATTTATAAAATTAACTTCACAATGCCACATGGACTCACAAAATTTAACAATGCATGTTAATGTATATGCTTTGCTCTGTAGTTGTGTGCATATATTTCTTTGGGTAGCAGGCTTTACTATACTAATATCTATAGTTCTGCAATTAATACATTATGAAGTGTGAACCCTTGCTTTGATTTGTCAGTTTTGCATGTACTAACTTTGCATACTAACTGCTTGTGTATATATCTTAAAATTTACTTTTGATTGTTACAAGTATCTATTTTGCATGCCCATGTAAACTCCATGCATAACTAGGATGCTAGTAAACCTTTGCTTTTTTTACATTTACTCCATTTCATTCAGTGTGTTATAATGCTAGTTAAAAAATCATGTTTTAACACCTATCCTTGTTCTAGTCTGTGTTTCACATATTATGCTAGCTAAAACCATGTTTTTGCACATAACGTTTTTCTTGTTTGTATTTTGTAACAACCATGCTATCTTAAACAAGGTTGTAACACATTTTCTGTCTCTAGTCTGTGTACAAAAACATGCTTACTTAATGTTTAATGTTTCTAAATAGTAATAGTCTGTGTTCTGACATATTCATTGTTTATAGTTTTCTGTTATTATTTGGAATTGGATCTAATAAAAAAATACCAATTCCAGGTTCATGTCCAGATTCATCTTGTTGTGGAATCCCTATTGAGACACTGGTGACTGGTTTCCTAAATGAAGAAAATGCCATGGATATTAGTTGATAAGGGTCTGTATTTGTTTTTGCAATCAACTTTGGAAAAAAGGTGAGTAGAGAGTCCTACTTTCCCTACTTTTCGGCTCTGAAAATCCCTACTTTTCCCTACTTTTTTACAAAAAAATTCCTACTTTTATCCCTACTTTTTTGTTATTGGCCACTTGAAAGCCTGTATTTTGGACGTTCTTTCAGGATTATTTTTGCTCTTATTGAGTTTTTAAATCAGTACTTTTTGCTATCTCTACTTTAGCCATCTGTTTAGCTCAATAGGTAGTGCGTTGGACTGTGAGTTGGGCGACCCGGGTTCGATTCCCGTGCTCCCTGTTGTGATCTGAAGGCTAAACTACCTACTTTACACTGGTGGCATACATCTATAGAAGCTGTAATTGTCCAGTGGCATATTTTGTATTTGTTTATCATCATGTTTGATACATTGATTTATTGGTTTATTTTTATTTCAGGACTCAGCCAATAATGAAGTAGAATTAAAAGTGTTATTACCAGATAGAAATATTTGTGTGGTAACTATTCACAGAAATGATACGACGGATACTGTATATAATGTAAGTGTAATAACCAACTTGTAAATTCAGGAAATGTGACTCTGATGGTATTACATATAAAATGTAAAATTTTCTTTGTGCAATATATTGTTTCATGGTTAATACACATAGTGAAGTTTTGCTGATTATTTTGGTGGTCATCCGATGTAAATTGCTACATTGTTTACATACAGAAGTAGTACTGTCTGTGGGCACTATAAAGCTTAAAAGTTATCATTTGAGTGGTGCTTATCTAAAAGTATGAAAGATATGTTAATAAAGTTTTTTTTTCATGTATTAACATTTGCTGAAGCAGGAGAGTGCATTTAAAACCCAAGCCCGCAGGGGGGGGGGGGGGGGATTTAATAAGGCCCAAGCACTATTCATGCATAAAAGTATATGTCTAAATACTTAATTCCACGTTTGTTATATGTATTTGGTATAAAAAAAACATTGCATGTACCATTCATTCCATATGTCATTTGACAATATTGTTTTGATAATAAATCTACCAGGGCCATCATTGCATTAAGCTGTATTACATTGAGCCCCGAGTCATATATATTAAAAAATGTGCCACAACATCGTGTAGTCATAAGAATCTATCTGTTAATGCATGTTTTTTCTCCGTTAATGTAAGCATGCATGCACAGTTTTTTATGCAAGAATATATTTTATTGAACTATTTTATTTTCAGGCTGTTGTTGATAAAGTTAATCTCTCTGATGGTGCTGCAGAATGCTTCTATTTATTTGAAACTGTTGAATATAATTTTGGTAAGTTCCTTATATAACCTGACTGGTTTTTATTATACACACTTGAAGTACTGAAGCTTATAAACATAACATTTGAATTTCCTACATAGATAAACTGGAACAATTTAAATAGAAAGACAGTTGTGCAATAGACAATTAAGTAATATACTCGGATTAAATTGAAAATTATATTTTTGCGCTATTAACCCAATTTGAGTGAAAAATGTTGATTTTGATAATGATTTTTGAGTGACCATCTACCAACGCTTTAAAAGAACTTTGAAAAGTTAAAAAAAGATGGCTGCTTGGGGGTGTGGCCTGATACATATTATTAAGGAGTCACTTTTGTATATACAGAAATCAATGAAAATCATCTTGAATAAATCTGCTAGTCATAATTTTATATAATTAAATAGAAATGATTCACAGAGAAAGCAATTCTTACTGTAAACTCAGATGAGCGATGTAGGTCCATCATTACTGTCTTGTTGATAATGATATTCTTGTTTCTGTGTTACCTCTACAGAGTAGTGGCAATATGTAGGGATCACTTCTCTGTCATCTGTCCGTCCGTCTGTCTTTTGATCCGTCTCTCACTTTTAAGCTTTATTGCAAATTTACTTTCTTTTTTTCAGAACGTAAATTACAAAGAAATGAATTTCCACACAATATATACATACAGAATTACAGTACTGCTACAGCTACTTGTATTACCTTAAAAAAATGGATCTTCTCCATAAACCGAGAAAACTTCCTCAATTCTGACCCAGTCGCTGTTAACTTCCTCTTTGGCCAGGTTTGTCTTATTTTATTTTTATGTTTCATATGTCATGTTTTTTCCTTTAAGGAAATCAGATATTAATGATATATGTTGGAACAGTTTTTTAGGTCATTTATAAAATATTTATTCATTGTTTTCTGATGTGCATAAAGTACAACATTTACAAGTGAAGTATGTTGGTAGACTGGTTCATCAAGATTGAATGGAAGTCAAAATACTACTTTGTTACATTTTGCTACTTTTATGACAAACATTTTCACATTCAGCGCTACTTTCTTCATTTAAAAGCAATCTAACATGCTCTTAATTAAGCCATAATTTAAATTTTATAAAACTCATAAATTGCCTTTTCTGAAGAAAGAAATGTTTGCATTTCTTAGGCATATTGAGTTGTTGATTTTAAATGTTGATTTATTCTGTCATGAAAACTTGTTATGGAATGAAAATGATTGATACAGCTTTTGTTGTTGTATATATATTCTTAGTTTAAGATAGGTATTTTGTTTAAATCTTTGAATTTTATTTGTTGCATAGGCTGTAGAAGAAGTGAACAGGGGTCATATCAAACCTGAAGATAAATTATATGAACTAAAGTCACTAAATGATGCAAGTAAAAAGATAGAGGTAAGCGTAAAAAGTGTACTTCATACAGATAAGGGTCTCGAAAATGCAAGAACAGGCTTGGAGAAGTGGCAAAGATGTTATAACTATGAGACAGTGTCCTGGCTATATTGAACACCAGAAATAACCTTAACCTGCTGGTTTTTGTGTAATTTTAAATGCTGTGATTAGAATATGGTTTGAATATGGAGCTTTCATTTGTATATTTGAAAAGAGTTTAGTTATAAGAGTTTTGACTAACCAACATTATTGAATCAGGTCAGGTCACACATCTGTACAGGCTAGTATAGATTTATACCAGTGGCATAGGTCTGGGATTATTTGTTAAAACTGTAAATCAATTACTTGTTTAAATTATTTGACTACCAAATTTAGACTTTGTATGTGAGGTAACTGTCTATTACAAATGTTTTAAGATTTTTTTTTGAGAGATACTTCCAATGAAAAAACTTAATAAAAAAATATATATAGCTATCTATTTGTGTCTTGCGATTTTCTTATTCATGTGTTATGTGGACTAAATGAAAAAATGGTTTTGTAACAAATACTGTCTCAATCATATTTAAGTCACACTAATTTATCTGATTCATGTATTTGCATTTATTAAATAATTATTGAGACACTATTCCAGAAAAGATGTTATGTAAACTAAATACTTTCTGTATTGATTGTCTGAAATTAAGTTGAGATAATTTTAATGACCTTGTTTGTTTTTTTCAGTATGTGAAAACAGCAAGATTTTTGGAGGGTTATTGTGAAGTACAATTCCCACACTGTCCATGTGACTCGAGGAAAGAAGGGCATGTTATAGTAATTATTGGGCGAACTTCTTTCAAATTACAGGCTTGTAAAACAGATGGAACTCCTGAGGTATTACGTTTTATGAACTTTTTTCATATGACATGATGCCTATACCATGTGTATCATTTTTTTAACCCCACACAGATCCTGAAAAGTCTCATGGTATATAGGCACTGTGTATAAGAGATTCATTTATTTGATCACTTTTAATTAGAGAAGAGTGGGCTTGTTCTATTCACCCTTGAATCTGTGTCAACTTTGGCAATGAATTGGTAAAAGTTTCATAATCTATGTCTACGTTCTTGTTAAGGGTTTCCTAGAAAAGATAGATATATATACAAATGAGCCGTGTTATGATAAAACCAATATAGTACAGGTTGGTCTGGATCCATGCTGGTCGCAAACACATGTTTGCGACCAGCATGGATCCAGACCAACCTGTGCATCCGCGCAGTCTGATCAGGATCCATGCTGTTCGATATCAGTTTCTCTACTTGTAATAGGGTTGTAAGCGAACAGCATGGATCCTGATCAGGATTGTATGGATCTATGCTGGTCGCAAACGCATTATGTTGGTTTTGTCGTGACGCGGCTCATTAATATAATAACTTTGTGTTTCAGTCACAAGTGATAGAGTTTCAGTGGAAGGATATACAGGGTTATGATATAGAGGAAGAGGGTATGGCATTTACACTGGAATATAACCGACCAGGCAAAAAACCAAGAATTGTACAAATTCTTACACAATATGTAAGTTTATCAATAAATTATATGATAGAAGATAATAAGCATTAAATGAGGTTGGTTATTGAGGTCAGGTTGCCCTATGTCCCTGCTACGGTAAAAGGAGTTGACAAACAAGTTCAGTAATCATATTTCAGTGGGTCTTTTTTTCCCCAGCCATTTTAGGAAATGTGTTTGAGTCACTTCAATTAGGTAATGTTAAAATCATGTAATTTGGTAAATTTGGGGGGGGGGGGGGAGGATTTTATCTAAAAAATAGTCAAATTGTGAATTTTTAATAATTATCAACAACATTTTTGGAAAAGTAATTTTTAACTACAAAATGTGTATAGACCTGATCCCTTTACTAGACCTGTGGGTATCTGAAGGAGGAAGGAGCACTCTTTTTGATTTTAAACAAATGCTGGAGTACTTTGGTTACAAGTAAACATACTTTGTACCTTGCCAGTACATTGTAGTGATGCAGAAAAATTTAGCTGAACCTGCAGTGATTCATATGCATATTAAATCTTAAATGGTTAATTATAATGTCAGATATTTTATTCATGTGGAACAAACTTTGTAGAAATACTAGTAACAGTTAATTGTCATAGTCTGGTAAAATTACACATATGTATATCTATTTTTTTCAGTTTGTTTTCATGAAAGAATGTTTTGATAAAATATTTGAAGAGATTGAATGGGAAAAAGAGGTATGTTAAAACATTATAACTTGATGAAAAAATAATAACATACATAATTTGAGCAGTGTCACAACAAAACCAACATAATGGGTTTGCGACCAGCATGGATCCAGACTAGTCTGCTCAGGATCCATGCTATTCGCTTGCAAACCCTATTACAAGTAGAGAAACTGATAGCGAACAGCAGGGATCCTGATCAGACTGTCGGGATGCGCAGGCTGGTCTGCATCCATGCTGGTCGCAAATGCAATTAGTTGGTTTTGTCATGGCATGGCTCAATTTTATTAAATTTTGCTTTGTTGTAATCTAAATAAAAGGTATTGCTGACAAAAAAAAACGGCATTTGTTCCAACATGGCATTTATTTTCCTTCATTTAGTTAATATTAATGAGAGAAAAAAAAACATAGTATTTCTGGTGCAATTTTCTAAGGTGTAACCCTTACCCAGCCAGAACCAAAAATGATTAGCCTTTGCCACCAGTATAGAGACAAGCATATGTGCAGTCTGACCAGGCTCTAAACTGTTGGCTGATTACCTTTTAAATTTTTCCATCGTGAAATCCTAAATTTTGATAATTAATAATTTCAAATATTAAAGCTGGCGAAATTCATTTTAGAAATTAAACATGTTAAGTTGCTAAAAATAAGCTTGCCTCCTTTGTGCAGTTACATGATTTCAGTCAGAAGTGGTAGAGCACAAGTGGTAAAATTACAATCATAGTGTTAGGTATAACACTTGCTTCTGTATATGCTTTCAGCGAATTTTCCTTTTTCTCTAGACATTTAGTTAAGTTAAATTTTGTGACTTTTCAAATGTTTATCCATTATTGATTGGCAAAAAAAATATCAATTATACATCCATATCATTTCTGTTGATGACAACACTATCATAGAATAATATATTTTTGTTGGTCAACTTTTATAATATTTGCCATGTAAAACACTGGCTAGTTATCTTGTGGCTTGACAGTATATACACATGGATTTTGAAAATAATTAATGTCAAAATATACTATGCTCACTGGTGTATTATTTCCCTTTTCTTCGTCATACTGTTCAAAGTTAAAAGAAAAGAAATTTACTGTAGTTATCATCCCCCCCCCCCCCCCCCCCAAGATTGTTTGAGAATTAATATTTGTCTGCTATCTTATGAAGATTTTTGAAAAGTGTTTAAACTACTTTTACTAACATTATGTGAACAAAGAAGAGAAAAACAACATGTCTTCTCGGTGTGGTTTTAAGCGGTTTTAAGTCTTGCTAAATTTCTTATAAATTGAAATCCATAATAAGGTTTAATATTGATTAACGATTTGACGATGGCCATTTTATTTTATTTTTACAGGAGGGAATGGATGTTTGAAAGTAATGTAAGTATGCTTAACTATAATTTCCATTTGGCTAAATGTATCATTTTATAGCTCGTCTGAAGGAAAAAGTCGATGGCGGTGTCATTGTTGTTGTCGTCGCACAAAAATTTGTGTAGCTGATTCAAACATTTTAAAAGTTATCAGCATGAAGCTTTAGAATACTTGAGTATCTTGACAAGGTGCAGTTGTCAGACAAGGGGCATATTTCTGAAAGTTATATTTTTGGAGTTATTCCTCTTTTTAACTTAGAAACAGATATGTTAGCAATGCATGTGGTGCTCTTGTTATTCATTCAGTGGTTCTAATTATTGACTGAAGAAGTTACATTGTGTTTAGAATCAAGATGTTTCCTCAGATATTGATATTAGCTGAACTTCAAATCTGGACCTCCAAAATATGTACATGTATTGATTCATTTATAAATGATTTTTTGAATATGTATTGTCATTTATGAATTTGCAGTTTTTGCATTAACATAACGACAGTATTTCAATTTGATTTTTCCACAGATTTTGTAGGATGTTTTCAAGTGAACCTACCCTGACCAGCAGCAATACCCATCTGCTTACACCCTGATGTAAGGTTACACAAGTCAACGGTCTTTCAGAAACCTTCAACAAAACCTTTAGATAAATGAAAAACCTATTTCCCCCCCAAAAGTTGTGAACAAAAACTTGTGCACCATTGTGTTCTGCAACGCAAGTCGAGGTTCCATGTACACTGTTCACCGTAGTGGATGTATGTTTTTTTTTTAAAGTTTCATATTTTGGAACTTATTGTTATAGTTTCGAGCAGAAGACTCGTTATTGTTAACCTGTTGAACGTATGTTTGATATTATGATAAAACTGTTCACCTTTATGGTGTAAGAATATTAATTTACTTACTTATTTACTTACCAGAATACATTAGCCATTTAACCAGGATTCACTTGTACATGTACTTTACTCGTAAGTATTATTTATTGCCCATCATTTTAAGTACTTATTTGAAGTTACATGTATTTTGTTTTATGAATATTGATATTATACATAAAGAATTATATTAATATTATACGTCAAGAAATGCTTATAGATAATTTAATTCTGATATACTTTCTAAATACCGTAGCTTCTTTCATAAAGACACCTTAAATTATTTTTAGTTTTTCATGAATATGTTAAATGAGATGGTTTAAAATGGCATTATTATGTCCATTCAAGTGTAAATGTAAAAGTTAAAATAACTGTACAATTTGCCACGATTGTTTATCAATTCTGTATTTTTTTTCATATGAATAATCAGTATCATGTGACCCACGGAAATTTCTATAAATATGCTTCGGTATTTATAGGTAACATTGAGTTAATAAAAGTGGCAGGTTCTTTTTAATTTATAGTCACTTTTAATATAATATCCCTGACATTTATCATTATCAGTATTTGGTCAATAACCATTATAATATTATAATAGTCATTCTTTTGAAATATATTATACAGCTAATTCAGCTCAGCTTGACATCATAAAAAAAAGAGCGCATAATGTTACATTTTGTGTTTAGTTTTTTGTTGAAATGTTTTAACTCTATTGCCAAAACATTTCTCGTAACAGAAGCTTGCCAGTAGTTGTACCTGGTTGTAAAACAGCGGGTTTATACTTAATTATGGTCATTTCAAGGTCTTTTTCCAGGATTTTGGGAACATGACCCAGGGAATTGGGTATATCAGCGATGTTTTGTTAAAAATTTGGAAAATATGCAAGACTGAATTTTTGCAGTGATTAAATGAATGCAAAGAATCACTTTGTAGGATAGCATTTTCAAACATTTCAAATTTATTCAATTTTTATTTTGTAACTTTCATTTGGGAATTTTTTTCTTGTAAAATGGGAAAATAATATGTTATTTTCAATTGGGAATATGACCAAATATCGGCTATAAAATAAGCCCAAAGAAAATTCCTTGATTTCAATTTTTAAAACGGCATTATCTAACCAAGACTAAACCAAAACCATTGCACACATTTGATATGATAGGGATTAAGGAGAGACCTATGCAGTTCATGGATATAGATTGATAATTCAAAATGTGTCTGCAGGAATTATAATTATAGATCTATATGTTATAATTATAATTTCTTCTGTTATTACAAACATGTTTATATCTTTTCTTTTATTCATAACCAGAATGTTTTTCATATCAAAGTATTAATTGTCATTTTAATACAAAATGTACTGTGTTTTGTGAATTATTGTTGAAATAATACATTTGACTAAAAATGTCTTTATTGCTGAATAACCATTTTTGTTTTAAGTTAAACAGATTTTTATTAAAGTATCGTCTAATTTGGGTAAATGTTCAAATACTCAAGATTTAATATTTTTTATGGAAATGCATGTACATATACTAGATATTGTTGAGGTTGTTAGACTAATGCATTGCCGTAGAGTTTTTACTGTGACCTCACGACCTTGCTGTGACCTCAGTGACCTTGCTGTGACCTCAGCAACCTTGCTGTGACCTTGCCGTGAACTCAGCGACCTAATAAGAGGTTGTATAAATGTGAACATTTTGATAAACGCTTAATCTGCTGGAACCAATATGCAGTTGGACAAGGCACTATACTGATGATAGGTCAATTTTTGTATTTTGGATATTGAAATCCCATAAAATTCAAATGGAATGTTCCAAATTTAAAGCTGGGAAAATCCATTACTCAAATTCAGGAGGCAAAGGGTTAAAATGATAAATCCTGGATAAACTTCAGATTATTTGGGGTAACAATTGTAACATTCATATTATCATTTTTTGTAATACCTTACTTAGAGGTTATAACACTTTTGCCCTGAGTTATGTCTCGGATCTTAGTGTTTTCATTGGTCAATATATATATATATTGTGCCAGTTTCTGACCAATCAAAAACCAGAGATGTGAGTGTGAGCTAAGTAAAAATCTTAAAAACTTTGAACCCAGGACTATCAAAACAATATTTTAACTCACTGCTTCAAAAGTAAACAAACAAAACAAAAAAACCTACTTTTAACATTGAATCTTTAAATCTTTGGGTTTCAAAACAATAGATTTAGATCGCCACTTCAGAAATAAACGACAACAAAAGAAGACCTACATTTAAGATTAAATCTTTGGCCCCAGGAGTTTCAAAACAATATTTTACCTCACTGCTTCAGAATTAAAAAAAAACAACAAAAAACCTTCATTCAATCTGTTAGTGTTTATAAACTACGAGTGTATTTGCAATGACACAAAAATAAGTTTAAAGAACAAATGATTTTGACTTTGAATTTTTAAACTTTTATCTGTCAAACATTCCCTTACAAAAGCATGGTTTTGCTGCTGTTAGGGTATTTCTATATACACGTAAGTGGTTCTACATAATTAGTCCAACTGTTGTGGTATCTAGAAAATATTTTGACATCAAAAAAAGTTCAAAAGGTTGTTAATTTTTTGTTTTTTTTTAAACTGTCATATATGATCATTTATTGTTGCATGTACTTTCACATCACATTCAATGCATGCTAGTTACCCCAAGTTTGCTTCGCATCCAAATCTTTTATAAAAATTTGTACCAATCTTTTTCTGCTGGTTATTTGGTTATTTATATAATGGATTCCGACAAAGCTTCTGAAAAAAAAACAACAGTATAAGTTTGACGTTTCTTGAATATTGAGAGCTTTTTATGTCCTCACATTATATTTTTGTTCAGTGGGTATCTCTATGGCAACTGTAACCTTGGTAACAAAAATTCTATTCTGTCGGTAAGCTGATTTGTAATTGAAACAACATGTTGATGGACATGAATTTTATTTAATTAACTCTAAGTCTGCTGGCGGAAACAGATTCTACCAATGCTACCAGTGCAGACCAAGATGGGCACAACAGTGCTATCTGATCATGGTCTGCACTGTTCATGCTTTTCAGTTGGTTCGTATTTTGAAAATTTACCCCTAAAAATGATGAATGGTTATATCCCTATTAGCAAGTTGATTTAAGATATTTAGTGTGGCAAGGTTAAAATAAAGGGATGTGACCTCTTTCTTATGTGATTGACCTTAAAGGTAATATTTTCCAAATTGAGATATATTTTTTACCCACAATTTTGTTATTTCATCACAAGTTTTGAGACAGGGTCAAAATGTGTATTTTATTGAGAGAAAAATTCTGTCAAGTTATTCTTTGGCATAACAATACATGTACATATAATATATACTCAATTGTTTTGTGATTAATATATACACATTGTACAACAAATAGATGATCAGAATAATTCAATTAAATAAACAAGTATGTGTTTTTAGATAAATACATTGTACATGATTTTATTGTGTTTATTTGGATGATGTAAACAAAATTTGTACTTGTATTTATGATATACTAAGTTTTTCCTCATTTTGAAAGAACCATCACCAAAATGTACTGAAGTTGAATAAAATCAATTTGGTACATAATTTGAGCTATATAATATGGAAACTGTTGCACTGAGTAGAAATTATAAAAACAATGAACCTGTGTATTTGTTTGTAGCCTACTCTGAGATATGTCAAGCTACAGTTTGTATATTGTTATGGTGTGATTTCAAGGAAATTATTTATAGTTTTCTATAACCATGGAATATATGAGCCGCATCATGACAAAAGCAACATAGTGCGTTTGTGACCAGCATAGATCCAGACCATGCACAGTCTGATCAGGATCCATGCTGTTCGCTATCAGTTTCTCTACTTGTTATAGGATTTGTAAGCGAACAGCATGGATCCTGATCAGACTGCGCGGATGCGCAGGCTGGTCTGGATCAATGCTGGTCGCAAACCCATAATGTTGGTTTTGTCGTGACGCGGCTCATATTATGTTAAAGTTTGAACAGCTGAAAATATTGTTATAACTCCTGTAGGCTTTGTAATGTTGCATTAGTTGATGTAATATTTATTGACCGATGTTGTATTGTACAGTAGATTTTTCTTTTTTTCCATCTATACATTTGTTAAGAATTTTGAATTGTACATAGCATTTAAAATGCATTAATTATATATTCCCGATTTTGTTAAATATGTTGTTAACCAGGGTTTGTACAGAACTAATATATATGAAAATTTAAAAATTATTCTTATCTTAGAAATTTCACTGATATTGGAAAAAAAATTGAAAATTTATAATTGAAAGTGAAATTTTCAAATGTATCCTAGAATTTTAAACATTTTGTTGTAAAAATATCTTTTGAAGTGCTAAAGATAAAATATCAAAGAATTTTGGTTTGTTACTCAATGGTTAAAAATGTATCTTAATTTACCACTAAATACTTTAGTAGAAAATCATACTTTTTTTTAACAGAATATGATTTTCATGGTATGTTCATGATAGCATGATATCATTATAATCTGGCATCTCGGGATGTTGTGGAACATTTATGAAGATCATAGACACTATTTATGGATTTGGTATAAACCCTGGTTAGCAACTCCTCTTAGTTAGGAAAAGATATTTTGAAGTTGTTATTCAGTGAACTAAAAATAGGCTGAAACAACTTGTGTATGAAAACCAATTATAGAAAACCTTTTACTGAAGATCACTATATTGAGGGTTGACTGCAAAATTGTTGTAAGTCCTTCCTTTATTTCAAATATGTTACTACAGTTTCACAACCCTCGATATTTATTCCCTTATTTAGATTTTAAATATGCAAAATCACTTGTTTTGGAAGAATAACCCGACACACTAGTTAACCGTCTCAAAAACATGTTGATCAATGATGCACGTTTTGAATGTAATCTATCTTATACAAAGTCTTATTATTGCCACTATTATTATTTTTATCCCAGATTTTCTGAAGGCATTATTTCTTGTTTCTTCTATTTTTACTATTTAGACTAATTTTCAATAGCAGAAGTAGCTTAGATAAAGTGCGAATGATT